CGTGTCCGAGACTGCCGGGATCGAGGAAGAGACGGGAGACGCCGCTGCTACGGAAGTGGTAGAGGCAAGGGACGAGGTGCATGCGAACGTACAGCCTAAGTACATAGAACTGATGAGCTTTACAAGATCTATGTAACTCTCTTCACCCCCGCTAACCTTATTGTGCATCGTCTGGTACATTTAGAGGGTTGCACTTCTAATAACGATGATAGCCCATCCCTCCAGAGCCACATATATGCCAAAAGAATGCATGCTTGACCATGCCAAAAACCCACAACTGAAAACGCACGCGCCCCGAATTGGTTCCGTTCCCCTATATCTCCGCCGTCGAGGCCTCTATCAACGATATTAGAAATGATATAGAACGAGCTCGGTCGCCGCTACCCTTACGTACTTTCAGAAAGACGAAACGACCAAATTTGCATACCCAACAAGTCAAATGTGTCCAAAAAATACCCCTATGGACGGGAAGCGCCATATCTCCCTCAATATTGGAAATCGCGAAGGCCCCCTCTTAGTAAACGTGCACCTGAGAAGCATATCTATCTTTTGAGCCCATAAAATCCAAATTCCAAGAGAGGCCCCCACTTAGGAGAGCCTAGTAACCCCCCCAACCCACTGTGGAATCCCTCTGATCTAGAAGGTATACATTCATTATCTACAATGCAAACAGATGATACAATAGTGCCTATACAAGCTGAATGACTCCCTACTCATCTACGACTCAAAACATACGTACACCATCCCCCCTGCACTTAAATCACCAATCCCTTCTCAATCCTAATACAGAATCAACATCACCAAACATCAGCGCCCATTGCGCCTAAATCTTACTTCGCTGATGGGTCTTCTTACCTGCAGTAAGATTCTTGCTATTGACTGGACTCGTACCGGTATGGTGATCGGCGGCGCCTTGAGAAACGAGAGAGGCGGAGGAGGGGGAGTTGGGTAGAGGGCGAAGACGAGATTGACGTCCGGCCATGGGCTCGAGCTACGATCCTGGTTAGCCACTGTACAACAACCGAAGCACGAGATGCTCACCCGTCGCTTGATATCCTTCAACGTCCTCGTAACCGGCTTCCAATGCACTATCCCCTCTTTCAAATCCTTCAGCTCTCCCGGGAACAAGTCCTTCACTTCCGGCGCATCCACAAGCGCCCTCATAATCCACGGCAGCTCAAAGTCGTTCCGGGCATCTCGAGCGTTGAAGGGTTCGATCTGGAGAGGGGGGAGAGGTTTACGAGCGGGGGTGGCGTAGAAGAGGTAGTTGACGGCGAGGGAGAAGGAGGATAGTTCTTCGTAAGGTGTTGAATGGCCGAGTCCTATCTTAAGATCAGCCTTGTCCTCAACATGGATTTTGCATACTCACCGGTCAGACCTCCCGCCGTCGCCTCGCTCAAATGCTCCACCAGACGCTCATCATCGATACCCGCGTTTCTCAACATGAAGGCGAAACAAAGCAAGTTTGTCATAAAGTCGGATTGCGTATAAGATGCGCCGTCGACGTAGAGGGCTCGAAGGAGTAGGGGATGGGTCGCACAGCTGAAGGAAGCTCCATATATCGGCACCTATTTATCATCAGCAACGTCCCACCAAAGCTCAAACCGTACTGACAACCTGATCATTCAACGACGCCAACAACACCACTCTCACCTCATTCTCCAAAACCATCGCTAACGCCCTCTGATACGCCAAACTAACCGGCGAAGTCGTATCCTGAAACTCAAACAACTCTCTCGCCGCCGCATTCTCAAACCACTGCAAATACGGCTGTATCACGCTCGACGTGCTTATCGAATACAGCGGCCCCAGATGCACCCCGCACATCGACAACATCGCCACCTTCTGCTTGCCCCCCTCCGCCCCCGGGATACTGGAAGAATGTTGTTCGGACGAGTGCCGTCGATGGGGGGAAGAAGGGGGCACGACGCCGATGGGGCCGAATGCCCATTCGCAGCGGGAGACGGCTTCGGCGTTGTGGGACGTGCGGATGTGGCCTTGGGCGATCATACGGGAGATGAGGTGGGTGGTGACGATGCAGCCTTGGGAGTGGGCGGCGAAGAAGATGGCGTCGGCGCGGCGGAGGTCGTTGATCCAAGCAGGATTGGAGAGGTACGCTTTGTACAGCCTATAGCGTGTCAGTATTGTACGAGTACAGAAGAGCGATAAACTCACTTGTCGACTCGAGAATCAATCGTCCCCTCTCCCTCGAGCGGCATGAGCGTCAACCTCAAATCATCCACCCCCTTCTCATCGAAAAACTGCTTGACAGCCTGCCCCATCATATTCGCAAACTTGACCGACGTCCCCGTCGGCTCCCCAATAACAGAATTCAACATCTTTGCCGGGAACCTATCACCCCATCAGCCCTTCCCTCAACCACACACATCACACAGAAGGAAGAAGACGTACCACCCATGCACACCAATAACAACCACCCTTCTCACATTCTTCCACCCATCATCCGGCCCCCCCACTCCTAGCCCCACCCTCCTCGGCAAATCCCCTCCAACCTTCCTCCCCTCCCCCCTTCCCCTTGTCTCTCCTTCATCTTCCTTCAGACTCTCCGACGTGGTCTTGGGCGGTGCTTCCCCATACATATAACTCCCCACCGCTCCAAGCGCTTTCCAAGCGTACCCCGTTGTTGTAGCTGCCAGGCCCCTCTGCTCTTGCTTGGCTGTCGGGGACGACGGAGGCGACGTAGGAGGGAGGGGTAAGAATGATCTCGGAGGGCGGTCGAAAGTGGTAGCGAAGGTGGGTATGACGAGATTCGGCTGTACGCTCGGCGGGAGGGGATGAGGAAGAGCAGATCCATTCTTCGTCATCTTATTCGGGCTCGCCTGAGACGATTTCGGATTGGGAGAAGTCGATACAGACCCCGTCGTCCCATTCGACACAGACGAAGCACTCGACAACCTCTTCCTCGCCACCTCCAAATTCTGCGAAGCCTTCGGCGTGACCGAAACCGCCCCTCCCCCCCTCTCCCTCTCCCTCTCCCTCCCTCCCTCCCTGCCCCTACTAGTCTCCTTCCCACTCGGGGGCGCAAGCTGATTCGGATTGATCCCCGAAACAGGGGGGTCGGCAGGGAAATGTGGATCATTCGAAAAGTCCATGACACTCGATTCTTCCGTGCCCGTATCCACGGACCCCGACCCCGCCCCAGCATCGACCTTCTTCTGACTAGCCCTAAACGCCAGGTAATTCAACCACCCAGCCGCCGAGGATCGCCTACTGCTCGACACGTTCCCGTTCGCCGGATTGGGCGGGCGAAGCGGAGATGAAGAAGGGGAAGCGGGCTCGGTATGGGAGGACGGTGTCGCAAATGGGGTTGCGAATGGTTCAGGAGCTGGAGGAGGTTTTCGGACGTCGGTAGGCAGGGCGGGGATGGGCATCTGCTCTTCGTCCACCGCCGTAGGCTCTACAGGCCGGGCGGCTTCGGGAGCAGAAGCTTTGGCCTTTTGCTCGGCGACGAGGGCGTAAAAGTAGGATGACCATGTAGAAGGGGGTTGAGCCGCTTTCGGGGTTGAGTCGGGGTCGGAGGGCCGTTCGTCGGAGGGAGGTTCGAGACCGACTATACTTCTGTCAGCTGTGCTGCTTCGTCCAAAATATATACACTCACCTCCATCACTGGGTGCACTACCCTCTCCACTCTCTGATACACTCCCGCCAGGCGAATTCGCCTTCGACCAGCTCAAATAATCCTTCCAGCCCCTAGCAGATGACAACGACGGCGCATTGTTCGTAGGCTTGAACTCTGGCTCAAGTGTAGGCGGGGGAGACGTTTGGGTGGTCGAAGGCGAGGCCGAGGGTAGAGGCTCGGGAGCTGCGGGTTCGGGCGCGGGGGGTTTGGGCGCTGGTTCGGGTTCGGACTTGGAGGGCGGAAGGGAGGAGGGTTCGCTCGTGGGGATAGGGGTAGGGTCGTCTTCAGTAGGAGGGGCGGGTACATTGGTCTTTGGCGAGGATTGCTGAGCCTCTTCCGGCTTAACCACCTTCCCACTCTCCTCTCCCGGTCCAGAACCTGCCTTCCCATCCTTCTCCTTCTCCACCCCCAAACCCTTCGTCCCCCTCGACAACGACCTCCACCACCCCCCTCTATCCCCCTTCCCCATCCCCGAAGGCTTGCGCGTACGCATAATCTCATCTCTTTGCTCTTGGGTGGCATCTTTGAGAGGGGAGGAAGATCTAGTGGAGGGCGTGCGTTTGAGATCTGCGGGTTTGGGGACTGCTAGGGGCTCTGTTTTAGGCGGAGGGTCGGTCGGGGGGAGGGTGTGCATCGGTGATTCGGTGTCGGATGTCACAGGGGCATCGATAGGTGGGGATTCCGAAGCGATTTGATCAGGCTATGAAGATGTCAGTCCATGGGACAAGGTCGAAAGGAAAGGAGTACGTACATTGCCCTTGTCCTCCTCGTCGACAGCTCTCTCCTTCCCCTTCGCGGACCCTCCAGGCAACACATTGGGAGGCAGTTTCGACGTAGCAGAGGACCACTTGAGCCACGCGCTTGAGGCCTTGCCGTTAAGCTTGCGCTTGATCGACTCTCTCCCGCCACCTGCCATCTCCGAGCCAGCTTCCCCATCCGCCTGCCTTTTGCTACCCTCCGAGCCCATGGGCAGCGAAGAGGGTCCGGCCAATGGCGACGATACCGTATCCCCAATATCTTCCGGCTCTTCTGACAGTACACTCCCACTCTCTTGCCGCTCGCCGCCGTTCGTACCACCCATAGTCGCCGTCGTCGCCGTCGTCGCCGTACTGCTCCGTCGACTCCTCAAGCCCATATGCCGCCCTCCAGAAGCGCCATCCAGCTGCCTCGACAGCGCTTCTTCGCTAGCTGACCCCGAGCGGGCGGGGTTGTTGGAAGGTGCGGGGCGGGGCGTGTCGGATGAGCCGTGGGCAAAGACGAGGGAGATGGAGGGGGCGGTGGAGTAGCGGGGGGAGGGGGGGCTGCGGAGGGTTGAAGGGGCGCGGAGGCGGGGGACGGAGGAGTTGCGGGAGGGGGGATGGGACATGGCGGTGAAGGGAAGAAGAGAAGCGTGGCGGAGTGAGGACACAAAGTGACAAGGACTTGCGGCCATCTCCGCCTCTGACGTCGTCCCCTTGTACCTTCCTGCGTGCTTCTTGCGTCTATCAACCGTCAAGTTAGTATAGCATACGGGATGCAGCCGTCGAGGAAAATCGATCATATTCTGCATATATATATCAAGACTTCTCCCTTCCTCTTCGCCCAACGTATAGAATCAGAGAACTCGCTATTGACCACAGCGCTACTCTGGCGCTACTATAGCATATATGACGCGATCACATTGCGATCACAAGCTCAGCAGAAGGTGATCGTAATCTTGACACACATCAGCCAAAAGACAAGACCCAGACAGGAAGCAAACTCACCCCAACATTATCAGCAGCGCACTGAATGGGCGCACCGCCGGCCGTAGCAGAGCCGAGATACGCCCCAGGACACTTGGCAGCAGAATTACCAGTACACGCCCCCGGCCCCTTGTTACACCCAGCCCCGTTGAACGCAAAGTCCATTTTGTATTGACTACCCCTCCATCAGCTTATTCTCTCTCTCTCTCTCTCTCCATCTCTCAAAGTCGACGCTGAAGGAAGAAGGTGTAGATAACTATTTATGATTCCCCAGCCCCGGCCCATCGAGCAAGGAATAATCCGCCGAATTCTGATATGAATACCCATTCGCAGCCTTATGACTCTTATTAATCAACGTAAACTCTACCACACCGCAGTTGACGCCAGAGCTCTGACAGTTCTTGTACCCGTCGAGCCAGGCGATACCGCCTTGCAAAGCGCCGTTTACGGTGCCCCCGCCGCGTTGGCCGTTGCCTTGGTAGAGGAAGACGGGTGTACCTGTTTTCGTGTCAGCTCGGCCATATCAGAGAACAGGGAGCGGGGGAGGGGGAGACGTACCAGAACCGCACTTGTTGACCAACTGCCGGGAAAAAGTCAGAAACATCTCGCTGGAGGTACAGAAGAGGAACTCGGGCGTACCTTGACGTTATGGGTCTCAGCGCGAGGTTCGATCACGCTGGCACTGGTCGCAGCAGTCGTAGTAAACAGCGCGAGAAGGAATTTGGGAGTAGAGAAGAACATTGTTTGTCTTGATACTGCAGGTACTGCGTGTGGAGGGATGTTGAAGATGAGTGGGCGATACTACTCCAAAATGACGCCTTATATACCTCTTCCTAAACCTTGGCATAGTATACCCGGCCGATGAGATCTATCCCTCTCCAATCATGCGCCTCCTCCATCAATTCGATATTTTGATAAAGACATCCAGCGCGCGCCTGTCAATAACACCATATGCTTACGCCCAACACGCCGTTCTTACACTAAAATTATGTCAGATCTATTGAAATAGAGCTGATGATAATAAGACATGCAGCCCACGTTGGTAATTTTCGGATGTACGAAGATCAGGTGGCCCAGGTGGGAGCAGATAAAAGCCCCAAATATGTCTCGTCATTTACGATATCGAAAGAACGCTCCTTATTGTCGCTGGCGGCTGTTTACAATGGTAGACTGAAAGTTTGGAGATCATGTGGTCGTATATTACTCGCTTTGGATCGCTGGGGCAATGAAATATACGAGCGGCTCTCATCTCAGTGATGTCAACTCTTTCGCTTTGAGCGCAACTAAAAGTGGTATTCAGTAGCCAATCTGCAGGATATCGCAAAAGTGCACCATCTCCTAACGTTACGATGTAAATTAACCCATTGCCGATAGAATCCACACCCCCCCCCCCGGTCATCCTCATCCCGCCCACTTACGTATCTCCCAAACAGATCGCGCTTATCGAGCACAATCGAGCTTATCGTAACGATCCGCATAGGACCGTACGGCATACCATATCGTAAATCCGTACCAGCAGGTCATACTACAGCGCTCAATTGGCATGGACGAATCACGCTTGGCAACCACAGTGGCACATGAGGAATGCTGCAACACCGCCGAGTCCTCCCCGAGCTTGTGATCGATTGTTCCCGCTCGATCTTGCAGAATCACGTGAAAAAGATGCCATTGGAGGTGTCTATCGGATACGTGTCTATCAGTTTTGGTCGCCAGCAGATGGAGAAACAGATTCAAAAACAGAGTCCATTGACTACAACTCGTATTAACTCGAAAGCATGTGTCTTTGATCAAAAGTAAGCCGCGCTTGTTCCTGTCGGTCATCCGACATCGTCGTCAGCGAGCTGCTTTGTTCCGAGGTCAGATTATGGATGTTCTGAGCCGTTCATTTCAGGAGTGTACCATCGTCAGACTAGCAGCTGAACGGCAAAGTGGGCGATTGGGAATAGATATCATGAGCCCGGATGAGAGACGTTCGGGTTTTCTTCTGACGCGTCCGCCTATACAAGATCGGCGTTCGACGGCGACATCATGGGACGGGGGAAAGCCGTTATTGGTATCCACTGTCTGGTCTGTTGGAAGGTTAGGCTATCTAGTTTGCATATGAAGAAGAAGGACTATGTACACGAAGACATGAAAGCCTATGGGAGAAACTCTCGCGCGCCTAATTCCCTTCTTCGCCTCTTTCTACCACTACAAGTTCACGCCGGGATACCACAACATGGTCAACCTCATCATGGGAGCTTATCTGACAAGTGTTTTACGTAGAAGAAGAGATATACTCGCATACATCGGTCTGCTGGTATTGACATGCGCGATTTGTTGTGAAAGATGTGATGTTCGATGCGACGGACGTCTTCAACAGCACCTTTGAGAGCTATTTTGATTCGAACACATGGAAGCGAGTAAAAATACACAGCGATATCAATTACATATCACAAGAACCTATTGACCCATCGCCTGTTTCGCATATATAGAATTACAAACTCTCGTCATTCAAAAGCTTCGACTGAACAGGCAGGGCGAAACATCGAGCTTAACAGAAGGTGATGGTGATCTAAACAGACGTCAGCATGAATCATAGAGGCATTGAGGTTAAACTCACCCAGACATTGTCAGCGACGCATTGAGTGGGGGCACCGCCTGTGGTAGCGGAGCCGAGGTACGCGCCAGGACACTTGGCAGCAGAGTTGCCGGTACAAGCACCAGGACCCTTGTTGCAGCCGCTGCCGTGGAAGGCAAAGTCCATCTTGTACTTGCTATCCCGAAGTCAGCGATTTATCCTCGATCGTTAATAATGAAAAGAAGAAGACTGACTACTGATGGTTGCCCAAACCCGGCCCGGTGAGGAGAGAGTAGTCGGCAGCGTTCTGATAAGAGTTGCCGTTCGGGTCCTTGTGACTCTTGTTGATAAGAGTAAACTCGACGATACCGCAGTTGACACCAGAGCTCTGGCAGTTTTTGTAGTTGTCGAGCCATGCGACACCGCCCTTGAGAGCGCCGTTGATGGTACCGCCGCCACGTTTGCCGTGGCCCTCGTACAAGAAGACGGGAGTACCTAGACATTGTGAGCTTCAGCGTATGGGATGGAAACGGAGAGAAGGCGTACCGGAACCGCACTTGTTGACAAACTAGTGGGGGGCAGTGTCAGAACAATTCGCAGGGGGGGAGAAAAGATGTACGTACCTTGACGTTGTGGGTCTCAGCTCGAGGCTCGATGACGTTGGCGCTGGTGGCGGCGGTGGTAGCAGCGAGGGCGAGAAGGACTTTGGGGGTTGAGAAGAGCATGGTGTATCAAGTTTCGCAAGGAGCAAAGGTGTTCGAGAGGAGGTGAGAGCTGGGGAGATGATGTTGAGAGATACTTTACAGTCGTCTTTATACACCTTCTTTGGAAGGTCGGCACAGTATACCCGGCCGAAAGCTGTGTTTTGGGGTCATGGGTCAGCACTAGAATTTGGAATAGATAAAGAAGCACCAGGCAAGTGACGCGTAGGTACCAGAAGAGTCATATGCTGCGCTACCCACCCCGCTCCCCCACCATCTTGCCAGATCCTCACGCCGAGAAAATGCCAGATCCTCACGCCGAGAAGAGGTCGCTTGCCAAGCTAGCTTCGAAGATGTATTTCCCTCGCTTGGACAAGATTAGATCAGGCAAATGGCACTCTACTAGAATATCTGAAAACACGCGACCCCTTCATGCGTCAATCAACGTCTCACTAAACGTTCCCGAGATGCGGTCCAGCCTCCTCATGCTGTACTGTATGTCCCGGCTGTGCAACGTCTCTCACACCCGCATGTACGACCCGCCGGGCAACGCTCAGAAGCCGACATCAACATCGCTTCTAGCGCGGAAGATCCCCTACACACCGTGACTGACTTGGGTCGCACAAAATCTATTCTGGTTATCATCAGAGAATCATGCGCCGTGTCTGTAATGTTCTTATATCTGTCATTCAACAATGGTAAGTTGACTGATGCTATAGAGGCGGTGAGGCGGTGCTCATGGCAGGAGGACAGCCCATGCCAGCCGCGTAGCCGACTTCGGCATGTTATTAGCTGTCAATATGAAGATGCTGGATGGAGAGGAAGATGCTCTTCAAGATGTCTGCTTACATGTCTTCTTCTCTGCCGGGGGCGTAGTGGAGTTGGTCGATAGCTGTGCCCAACCGGTCATGGGTCGACGTTCAGATCTGACCGACAGACACGACGAGCAGACGCCGGAGCGACCAGTCAGCGTCTTTCGAAACCACATGCTACGCCTCTCACGATGTTTCTTATCCATATATTACAGATTCGTATGCGGAGCTGCTGATGAGAGACTCGCAGCTGTCGGAGAGGCAATGATATGCAAATTCGACCAGATGTCGCTCCGGGTATGTCTTTTCTTTGTTCTATCAGAGCGATGTTTTGAGATCAATCATGAGATCTATCTCTCGCCTCCTTGTCAGGCGCTCTCCAATGCTTAGGTATAGCATCCAGCTTTCGATCCACTACGCCCAACGAACGTCATTCTCCAGCGCCGCCTCTGCCTAATCCAAATTCACGGCCCGTCGGCGAATGGCCTCTGCCCTGTGTCTTTTGAGTTTCGGCCTTGCAAACACTCATCCACAGCAAGGTGATGATGACCTACATCTGCATAGCGCAGAAGATCTACATATTTCCTCGCGATCAGTAGGGGAATGGCTTCTAGCGCGGTGGTAAAGGGAAAGACCTGCCCGAGACTAGTCATCACTCATTCTCCATGACCTCCGCTGCACCCGTTCTATTCTTGTCTACCTTGCAAGCTGTAAGGAGTAGTATACCACATGTCATACATCTTACAGACTGGAAGCTGGATACTTCCGGAGAGGAGGGCTGCTCCAAACGCCGATAGAGGAGGGCGACGCGCGCACATGAATCAGCTTTGTGGTGTTGCATGTGACTTGCCGATGCGATGCTGGTGCTCGCTCTCCAGAATGATCAAGTGCAAATTCTCCCGGTCTCAAAACCAGCTGTGCATGTACTGCAAGCCCATAGAAAGCGGTGAGACCGCGTTCGAAAAAGAGGCGTCGCGGACTCGGGCGGTAGCATGTGTCTCATGCTCGACGCGCTTGTTCCTGTTTCTTTGATCTTTCGCTGATCCGCCTTAGCATTATGTACTATCAACCCATCTCACCCACAGCCTGGAGTAAGAGTATGGGCGAGAAACGTCAGTAAAAACCTGCTTCGGCGCTGGCATAGCTGCAGGGCGACGAATCAATACGTACAGACCTCCTTCCTTCTAAAAGCGAGATGCGATGTGTGTGCAAACCACCACACAATCGCGGAGATAAACTTGTGGATGCCCGTCAACGTGTATAAACACCATACTGGACCGGAGAGACTGTCTTCTTTGGTCATTTCGTTTGGCAAATATCACCGGATATACGTTCTAGTCCAGACTCCCACCTTTCCTTGCAGTAGTGTAAAGTCGGATGATACAGTAAAGACCTCCTGAATCTCATCACTGTATCATGTGGATGATGGCGTAGCACTGGCCGGCTTGGGCCCCGCCATATGATGATTCATGAGCGGGACTGCCTTCTACCTCTTCACATGACATCTCGTAGACCATGAATCGATGTTTGCTGGACGACCTCCGACAGCGAGAGACTCTTCGACTCCTGTACATCACCGCGCCTCTGTCGCCCCACCTGTCTGTTTCGATTCGCTATCCCAGTGTTTGCTATGCTCATCTCGGCGATGATTGTGTTTCCTCTATCCGGGGACAACATGTTCAATAGTCCACATACAAATCTCACATCCGAAGAAATGAAAATACATCTGCTGTACTCAGTACACACACACCCCGATCAGCGGAGACTGAGGCACCATCAACTCCCACATTTTGCCGCGGTCGACCAACGTTGAGGAGATAATGGATTCTGATACTCCCCGAGATCTCCACCCCGAGCCAGATGTCTACAAGCTGATGGGGTACTTGAGCTTTGAATGTGACCAAGCTGGAAGAACTCGGCAGAGTTTACCAGGCATAGCCTCAGCGTGAACGTATTTTCATCCTTGATGTACGAGCAATTTGAGCGTCTGCTCCTTCTCTGGTATACCTGATCAAGATACTATATGTCTAAGACTCTAGACTGCTGATCCGTGCACCTGGAATACCCAGCAGTCTGTCAAGATTCAGCTCGTCGCTCATCGATCTTGGACAAACGGCGGCGTACGCCGTCCCCACCCCAAACGGAGATTCCCCGCTGTCCGTTGTTTTCCATTTCCTCTATCATCTGTCTATCATCCTCTTTCTCTTTGCTTTCTCTTCGCGCCCATCCACCCCTCCATCCACCACCATGTCATCCTCCGACGTCCGCTCCATCCTCAACCTCCCCCAAGCCGGCTCCTCCTCCCACCACCCCCCCGCCCCCAAAAAGCTCCCACAACCCAAGAAACCCGACGGCATTTCCCGAGAACTCTACGCCCTCATTGGCGATAATGCGCCGTCACTCGCGGATGCGCAGGCGAGTATCGCTGCTGTAAAGTATAGGGAGAAGCCTGCTTTCAAGTCGAAGAAGGTGCACTGGTGAGTAGCCCCATATGAGCTGGAGGGGGTTGATACTGACGCTGCGAAGGGAATGGACGCCATTTACGCCTGCGGCGCGACAGGAGGAAGGCAACTTGAAGCTGGGCCATTGGGCTCGAGTCACCGACTCTGACCCAGAAGCATCAGGTACGTCTCCCCCCCTCCACCCCCTAGGTTCTGAGTACTGACCCTGCCCAGTCGAATACTTTGGCAAATTCAACAACCACGGCCCCTCTTCCATGGAATACAGCCAATACGAATACGACCAACACCTCATCGACCCCAACTGGACACCACACGAGACGGCGTACCTCTTCGAGCTGCTGAAAGAGTATGATCTGCGGTTTATCGTGGCGGCGGACAGGTACGCGTATATGGGACCGACGGGGATGGGTCCGGAGAAAAAGCGGTCGGTAGAAGTCAGCACACTTTTGCTTTATCAAGACTCGGGCTGATGGTCTGGCAGGATATGAAGGAGAGGTACTACTTTATCTGCAAGAGGCTGGTGGAAACACGCACAGCCAGCGACCCCCACGCCCAAAACTTGCTCGCCCGTCAATACGAATTTGACAAAGGTCCGTCCTTCCTTGCCCTGCCCTCTGCCCCTTATCCTCTTACTGACCATCCCACCAGCCCGCGAGATCAAACGCAAACAATACGCCTCCGAACTATTCCACCTCACCGCCGCCGAAATCTCCGAAGAAGAAGCCCTCTACGTCGAGATCAAGCGCATGGAGCAGAACGAGCGTCGTTTTCGCGCCGACCGCGACGACCTCATGCGGTCAGTCATGGGCCTCGACAGCGGGCTCGTCAACGTCGACCAAGCCACCATCGAGGGAGTATTCGGAGCGGACAAGAATAAGAAGAAGAGAAAGGCGGATGATGATTACCTTGCGCCATCGCCTGCGCCCACGCCGAAGAGAACGCCAAATGCGGCTTTCGACAATGCTCACTGTATCTACCACGTCCCCACCCCCGCCGAACCCCAAGGCTCGTCCTACCTCTCCACCAAACACCCCGCCCACCTCCCCGTCTACCTCCGCTCCTCCAAGCTACCCCTCCCCAAACCGACAGCTGCTATACGCGTGACAGAGCTCCTCGCCGAGCTCGGGGTGAACGCTACAAAGCTGGTCATGCCGACGAGACAGAATCTGGAGGTCCTTGAGGGCCTGCTAGGCGCGGGCGCGGCGTTGGTGGAGATGAAGAGGCAGGTGGATCGGGTGGAACAAGAGTTGAGGACGGTCAGGGCGCAGAAGGAGGGGCTTTTGCCGATGGCCACGCCTGGTGTGGAGCCTTCTCAGGTTAGTGCATCCTCCTTTGATTTTGAATTCGCGCTGATATCGTTCTAGCAAAGCCGCGCCGACTCTGTCGTCTCTACCGACACGACCACCACCACCAACAGGCAAAGCCGACCTCTCTAATCTCAACGTCGGTCCAGGGGATGTACTTTTGTAACATCAATAGTGTACAACAGGCTATGCATCACGCTTTATGGAACACTGTCACCGTACAATAGTTATACATAAATACAGGAGCCGTACAACTTACTCTACATCCTCCACCAAGAGGGGCTGTTTCTCCGGGTCTTCGTCATAAGCGACATCGTCATCTCCAAGCCTGATCGACCTTCTTCGTTATCAGCTCACGACCCATTATATCTTCGAGTCATAAACCCACTGTTCTTCGTCCGTCAACATCTTCCTCGACTTGTTTTCAAACGCCAAAGTGAAAAAGCACGAAAGAATCGCCATAAAGACGGTGACGACGAACCCCCACCCGACTCGTACGTCAACTATGTTGTCGGCCGGAATAGAGTCTTCGATCAGGGGGACAATCATAAGCGCGCAGCCTGTGAAAACCTGATTGACTATCAGTACGCAGTGGGGGAGAGACCGAGGCGGGAGACTTACAGCGCCGCAGACCGAGACGAAATCTTTCAGCACCATCACCCCCAATGCAAACGTCCGGAACTCTTTCAGCCTCTCCACCTCGAACGACTTTCTGCTCGCCATCAATTGGAATGTCGCTGCTAGGCCGAGGGAAAAGACGAGAAGGCCGTAGAAGATCTGGTACGATGCGAGGAGCGGTATGATCGTGCTAAGTCTTGTAAGCCTGATTGATGTCTTTCCACCTCCAGAGTGCAGCTTACCTCACTCCCTTCCCTACCAGTCCACTACAACAATGCACACTCTTCTCCCCCGCCCAACACCTCCCACTCATATCAATCGTCACCCTCTCCCCCATGACCCATTCCCCGCCTATCGAGCTCCCCTCCGCTAGACGATCATACCCAACAACAGTAGACACGATGGATGGACCGGAAGAGGCTGGGAGGTAGGCGTGGTATAGGATATCGAGCGAGGCGGGGAGGAATGCGAGGATTACAGAGTACATCGTGATTTTCGGCGTGCGGGTATGTCCGGTAGGTGGCGTGTTTGGTTCGGGCTTGGGTTCGAGGTGTTTGTGTTTTGCAGAATCGTCGCAGACGAGAGATGTATAATGCGTAGTATTCTAGTGCTGTATATCAGAAGAGAATGAAACTGCAGATATATACTGTCGAGCATACGTATACATTTGGACTTGTCCTTTGTAGTGCCAAGAGAAAGGATGGCACGCTTATGGCCCCACTTTACGGCGACCATGGGAACAACAATCCTTTCAGCTACGTCGCCTACTTTGTACTGCTGATCACATCTAGACTTACGAGAGTCGAACGGTAAGAGTACACGTAAACCGGCGGACGTAGAGCCTGCGTGTGCCACGAGCGCGCGCTTCGTGTTGCCAGTATTTGGTCCGAACGAGCAGATGTTCCAAGAGATTATACAATTATGCACATGCCATTCTATAGTAACTAATATCTCAAAACCATAGTCCGTAAAAGAAACCCTATAACACTGCTCACTCTACTCTCCCTAGTCAACCAGATCTTCCCCAGACGCTATTATAGTCATCCCCACCCATCTCCGCCACCTCAAGCGCTCACGTCACCCTCAAACCCACCCCCACCAACCACCTTCGGCGTCCCGACAGCATTCGCATCCTTCACTGCCAACGCCTTCCTCTCCCTCTCCGGCGTCCCAACATCCTCTCTACCCTCCAGCTTTGCCAGAAGCCACAGCGCGCTCTTGCCCGGGGTGGATACTTCTATACGGGTAGCAAATGCTGGTGCAGGGGATTTGGTGATTGGGGAAAGAGGCGAGGGGGTACGAGTAGAGGGGGTGGCGGTTGGGGGAGATAGGGAGGAAGGTATGTCGTCGATGGAGGGACTGTTGAATGAACGAGATACCGAGTTGTCTTCGGTCACTTGTACGGTGGTAACTGCAACTTCGGCTTGAGGGATGGAATCTTCCACTCTAGCCTTCTCAAGCTTCCCCTCCATGTTGCCCAAAACCGATCCAGAGATGTCCTCATCCTCGCTCGCTTCCTTATTCACCTGCTCTCCTCCCTCTTCCTTCACCCCGTCATTCCCAACAATCTCCGCACCCTCATCCTTCTCCTCCACATGTCCCAACAACAACCCCTCCCCCACCTCCCCCTTCGTCAAAAGCGGGCTCGCCGGCCTTCCCTTCTCCAACACCACCCCCCCAGGACTAGCCGGCACACTCCTCCCACTCGTCTGGCTCCTCACACTCCTAACACTCCTAGCAGGCGAATCCGCCCCCCCTCTCCCTCGCGCAATCTCCGTCCTCAAAGGCGAAGGCCTGCTCAACACAGGCGTATGCGCTCTTGGCGTCGGTGATCGGGGAGGAGATGGTGGGAGAGGATGATCTCTCGGGCTCGGACTATTGTGCCGACTTGGAGGGAGTGGGATAGCAGCGGCTTTGGGCGGACTGTCGGGGAGGGGAACAGTTTCGGGTTTGACTTCTTTCTTCGCTCGCATAGGTCGGAAAGAAGGCAGAGGAGCTTTGAGGCGGATCTTCTCCTTCTTCGCAGCTGGCAGGACCACATGGCTCGGGACGGCGGGTTTGCGCGGTCTGGAGGCGATGGGAGCTTTGGCAGCTGGTGCAGAGGAGGTGACGGGTGGTCTAGATGCGGGAGGCTTGGAGATAGGTGCGGAGGTGACGGTACGTTTTGGAGGTTCTTCGGGTCTTGAAACCTTGGCCAGCTCTGGGCGAGCAGGAGGAGGGGCCGATGTCTTCGTCGCGACTGGGGGTTTGTTCCCTGTCGCCCCAGATGCCGAAACAACCCTCGCCGAAGCACTCGTAACAACCGGCTTGCTCACCGCACCAGCCGCATCCTTCTTAACAACACCTGCCGCCGGCGCCGGCGCCGTCGCTGAAGCCTGACCACCACCGCTCCCCACACTCGCAGCGCTCGTAGGCTTGAACGCCTTCCTCACAAGAGGCACCACCGGCTTACTCCCACTCGCCACCCTCGCACGAGGTACAGGCGGCTTCCTCGGCACCGCCGCTGCCGCCTTTGGTTCGGGTCGAGCTCCCGATACGGCTGGGGCGGGACGAGAAGGTGCGCGAGAGAGAGGTTTCGCTTGGGCTTGGGGAGCGGCAGGGGGGCGGGATGGTTTGGCTGTGAGACTGGGACTGGAAGTAGGCTGAGCGGTGGGTGGGGGTGGTATGGGTTTGGATTCGATGGGAGGTTCGGGAGCTGATGTCGGTTCAGGAGCTTGCTGAACGGCGGCCTCGACGGCTGAAACAACTTTCGTCTCGACCCCAGGCTCAACAGCCTCTTCTGCCGCAGCCCGCTCATCCTCAGTCGGCTTCCCCACGACCTCCACTACAGCACTCTTCTTCTCCGACGTCGGACTATCCGGCAAAGCAACCTCTCTCGCAACTTCCACCTCCCTCCTTCCATCCTCCCCATCTCCCCTCTTCGACGGCGATGCAGGATAAACATCTTCTTCCATATCGATAACCCCTTCCGACTCTTCTTGCGAAGGCTTGATTTCCTCCGCATCCACCTTGCTCGACGTGGATTGCATGAGCACCGGCATGAGCGGCGACTCGACGCTTTTCTTCTCACCCTCAAGTACCCGGGACGGGACAGGGGAGAAGAATGATTCTGCAGAAGTCTGTGGGCTAGGTCGTATCGACTGTTGGGGCTGGTCTTCCAAACCCGACTCGCTCGACAAAGGGACAGGAGCAGTGACGACCCTCCTCGTAGCTTGCCCCATCGTATTCTTCTTCACCACCGCCGGCCTCACCGCTCCCCTCAACGCTCCACTCGCAACAGCCTTCGACCCAGCCCCAGACCCAGCGGCTTCATCTTCATCTTCTTCCTCCACCACGGGCTTCACGATCCTCTCTGGCGGCGCCATCCTCCTCGGTTTTGCGTTTGCCGCTTCGCCCTGAGGCAGAAGAGCGGAGGTGGACCATGAAGCTGGGAGGGGAGGGCGGACTGGTTTGGATAGTGGATTGTGTTTCACGCCCTGAGACTGATGGGGATGGTCGACGGGGGAGAAGAGAGAGTTTGGGTTCGGGTCGGATGAAGAGGAGGTGGGTAGTGATTCGTGTGATACTGTACGAGCACGTACAGGGGGGAGTGTGTTGAGAGCTCTAGGACGGGTCGGTTCCACCTCCGGCAGAGGAAGAGGTTCGGCATGACTACGAGGAGGTCTGGGATCGTACGTCGATCTCCCCGTCTGAGGTTCGTCCCCAGACAATTTTCTCGAAGGCGCAGCGGGCTGTTGTGCCGGGGGGAATCTCGAGCCGCCTAGTTCTTGGACTCTGTGATGAGGCGCGGGGGGGTGGGCTGAAGAGGAGGAGGCGGTGGATGAAGTGAGAGGAGGGGGCATCTTGCGAGCTGGAGCGGCGGGGCGAGTTTTGGGCTTTGCAGTCACACCGTTGGCGTCAATCTTGAGATTTCGTCGCGTAATCGGAGTGAGGGGGCTTGCAAACCTGCCTCGAGTCAGTATGATATATAAGAATGAAGACCTATATGACTCACTCGTCGACTCTCTCCGGCCACGCCTCCGCAAACAAACCCAACACTTCTCTCCCCGTCTCTCGCACCTGCGGATCCTTGTCCGCCCCCATCTTCTTGACACACCCCTCTAGCACCTTCAACCACTTGTCATTCCACATTTCATAAGGCCACTCCTGCAATGCCCTATCAATCGCCACCGCACATCCCTTCCTACACGCCGCCGCATTATCATCCAGCCCCTTCCGTAGCTCTTGTACGATGACGGGGAGGTGACAGTTGGATATGATGGTTGCGAGGCATTTTTCAGTTCGGCGGAGATAGACCTTATTGGGACGGCCTAGGAGGGTCATGATGGGTTCGAGATAGAGGTGGGTGAGGGGTTTGAAGTGGGTGGATAGGCGGGGGGCGAATGTTTGGAGGAGGTCTGTGGCGACGCCTGATAGTCTGCCTCTGTCGGAGAGCATCTGTACTGTTTTCAGCTATGTCCACCTTTACCTCCATTCCTGTACAAGGCGGAGACTTACACATCTTACAAGCTTCGTCCCGACGCCGCCCCTTCCAACACCTTCCACAAACGTCTCTGTAAACTTGTACCCTCCCCCTCTGACCACCGCTGCAAAACGTATGATGGCCTTTTCGAACTTTTCCCAAGTATCCTCCTTCTCGGCCGGTTCCAGGGCATAGGCGAGTTCGTCGAGTTCTTCTACAAGATGGCGCTGAGTGGGGCACTGAGGGAATGAGTCAGCTCGGGCGTATCGAGAAAGTTGGAGGCTGCTTACTGGTATCTTGCCATCGGGGGGGAGTGCTGGGGCCATATTCCACCTGACTGAGACGGGATATAACGCTTTACAGGAATTGACTATGTATTTGCTGTTGTTTGTGCAAAGTCAGACGCGCATCGCGAAACAAAACAAACAGCCCGGAACCAAATCTAGCATCACGTGACACCCCTATCACCTCTTGCAACGCCAAAATTAACCTCCACTTCAGACTTCCCTATACCATTCACTACCCAAAATGAGCGGGCACAGCAAGGAAGGCGTGCGTCTCTGTGAACACATAGTATCCCAGGCATTTGGTGGCATCGTTCAAGTGAGTGATTTTATCCATATTCCGCTCTACGCTGACATATTGCAGCGAGTCGCCTCGACGCTCTTGAACCGAGGAAGATTACCAGCCACCACAGTCGCACGCCTATCCGGTCTCTCGCCACACGTTACAAACGAATCCCTCCTTATTTTATTACAGCACAATCTTGTGCAGTCTAATGGAGCATCGGTGAAGCAGACGGGAGAGGATGAGCAGTACGAATTTAATGTGGACGAGTGTTTGTTGCGGTTACGGTGGGGGCGAATATTGGCCATAACGCACGAGAAGCTAGATCTGGTGGTGAGCACGCCCTTTCTGGAATATCGGGCTGGCTGTAGACTGACATTTGGTGTAGGCTGTACAAGTCGTCAAGCAGCTCATGATCTATGGCAAACTCAGAGTTCCAGATATTGTATCTGCTTGTGGTGGTGATTCAGACGCTATCCGTGAGACCCTCTCAATTAGCAGCTGGTGGTGAGCTAACACTTGTGATTAGGAGCGGAAGCCGTCACCAACACCATCATCTCCCTTCTCCTCAACCGTTTCCTCGAATGTACTGCGCCCGAACTTCAGATCCTCGAATCAGATCAGATCGAACGGCGCTTTGCGGTAAGTACACATCTCCCAGATAACAAGGCGACCCAATCTGATGACTTCACAGGCCAATCGTAAACGCATGGTCCTTGCGCAAGGCTCCTCCCTCCTCTCCGCCAACGACCTCGAAAACTGCCGCCTCGAAGCCTCCCACGACGTCCGCACCGAAGCAACCTCCCTCCGCGCCGTATCCAACATCCTCATCCAAAAGCCCAAAATCGACCCCAAAAAGAAACGCAAGCCCGCAAACGCCAATCCCATTGACGACTTCGACTTTTCGCTCAAAGAAAACGTCCACCTGCGAGTCAACTATGATCGGTATGGGGTGTTTATCAGGAATGAGCTGATCGTCAAGGCGGCTGAGGATCGGTGGAATAAGGGAGCCGGTGTCGTCATGCGGGCGGTGTTGGAGGGAAGTGTGCAGGATTCGTCGGCTTTGCGGGATGATCGGACGCACGATCCCGTATCTATCAACACCATCATCTCATCCATCCCCCCCTCTTCCGCCCCCCTCCTCCTCGCCGGTATCTCCGCACCATCCAAATCCTCCCTACCCGACCTCGCCCGGCATTACCTGACGATACTCGCTGCTGAAGATCAGGTTGGCAATGGGGGATGGCTGGTCAGGGAGGGGAGCACGAATCCGGGGTATAGAGTCGAGTTTGAAGCGATCTGTGTGAGGATGAGGGAGAGTTTGTTGGGTGATTTGGTTAGGGAGAAGCTTGGGGATAAGGCAGCGAGGGTTTTGGCGGTCGTCACCAAGTCCAACAAGGCGTTCGAAACCACCGTACGTTCAAACCATTCACCTTCGGATATGTACTGACTGTCCAAAGATCCGTGATTGTGCAATGGTATCCCTCCGAGACGCCCGTTACATTCTGGCCGAACTCCAACAACTCTCCCTCGTCGAAACCCAAGAAGTCCCCAAAACCGCCGCCAAATCCCGCCTCGGCCTCCCCTCTTCGGCAGAATACCATCTCTGGGCCGTCGACCTCCCCCGCGTATACGGCGTCCTCCTCACCAGCGTCTACAAAGCCCTCGGAAACATCTTGCAGCGAAAAGCGGCCGAAGTCGGCAAGAAGAGCACGGTGCTTGCGAGGGAGCAGAGGGTGCTGGGGCATGAAGGCGGTAGGGGGCTGTTACAGCTAAAAGATCAGGAGGATCTGGCCGAGTTGGATGATTCGATGAACAAGTTGACGTTGGCAGAGCTGAGGAGCGAGCTTGTAGTATTCATCTTGCGCGATCTGCCGGGGTGGCCTGGGTCGGGGTGAGTCTTCTTCTCTGCCTCTTTTTACTTTCGACTGATGTCCCGTTTAGAGTGTTAGCGTAGTACGATTAGGTTACGACATGATGCATATCCTAATACGGACCCTCTTCTTGCCTGCTCTCTTGAGCTTCTACCACCAATCAGCGTCTCTCGCCGTCGCACAGCCATGGACAACACAATACCAAACTCTCCTCCGGCTCTTCCACCCGTTTCCAAACTTCCACCATGACCATACATCTTTCGCTTTCCACTCTGCCCCCTCCTCTCGGCTGGCCCCAAGAGATTTAATGATGGGATCGACGAACGAAGCGTCAAGGGCGTCAGAGAGGTGAAGAGCCGACCCGACACCAGAAGGGTTAGCGCGCCAGCGGGACAGGGTCGTCACTTTCCACCTCCTAACATCATCGAGTACCAAGAGAGCCCAGATATTCGACGATAGAGGGTAATGCCACAGATCTGAGCATGTGCGAGCGAGGGATAAAAAGTCGTTGATGGCGGATGGGTTGAGTAGTTTGGGCAAGGTCTTGGTAGGTGAAGAGGTGAGTTGGGACACGTCTGGGAGGTCGGGATTCTCGAGAGAGGAGAGGAAGATTGAGTAGATGATAGTGTAAGGGAGGGTTGTTAGGATGGAGGTCTGGAGGGGGCGGAAGTATGGGAGAGGGTCTGTCGAAGATGGTTCGCCGACGTCGAATGGGGATAACAAATCACTCTACCAAACCCGTGAGCACTTACTCCCGCCGCAACACCACTTTACCTACATCCAGATAATGCTTCCCCTCCATCTCCCACCTCTCCCTCTGACTGACCAGCCCTCTCCAATGCCCCAAGCTCAACCCCCCTCCCGCTCCTTCACCCTCCTCATCGCCTTTCCTCACCCAAGGCCCAAACCCACTCCATCTCGGCAAACTCCACTCAATCATCATCTTCTCCTCGTGCGTCTGCGCGTTGTTGAACTGTGACTGGCGGATAGTGGAGAGAATTGCGAGGAGGCAGTATGCATGGATCGGTACGCAGCGCTTTGTCTTGGCTCCGGTCTGGCCGGGAGAGGGGCAAGCTTTGGATGTAGGTGAAATTGGCGGAGTGGGAGGGAGGAAGGGTTCGGGACGGACGATACCTGAAGAAACGCGGAGGCAGTACCATTCGTTCAACCAACACGTCGCGCCTACGCCAGACGATTTGCTAGGAGAAACGAGAGAGTCTGCGAGGAAAGAGGCTTTAGGAGGGGGGAGCTCGTTGCGGGGAAGAAGGCATGGGATAGCGCAGATGGAGCAATGTAGTGGAGCGGAGAGCATTTTGTAGCGCCTTTTCGGGTTAGATATGTATCGCTGTGTCTGTTGAAGACCTGGTTGTTTCCAACGCCGACGACGACCGACTTTATCTTTACTGCCATTCCACACCTTTGTCATTCAAATCCTTTCATGAATCTAGAGACATCCTTGCGGCATGTACCAGGCTACTATCTTCCAACAGCTTCCATTGCGGCGTGTTGCACGAGGAGGGCGAGGAGTACACCAGCACGCCATCCAGCAAGTTGGCTGAAACTACTGCGGTACCGACTGATGGGGGCGCGTGCGTGGACTGCGCATGTGAGGTAGTCAGAAAGGACATCGAGGGAGGGAACGGTTCTCCCAGGCCACAGTCGGAGAACCACATCGCCCCATCGACAATGCTATATCCTCATGATGCAACAGACCTGTACGCAAAATACCATAATAACGACTCTGTATACTATAATCACAATTGTGTAATCGATTCAACATCGCAAGCCGGCGTGGCCAAATGGTTACGGCGTTCGCTTCCTATGATCTGATGAAGACGTGTTAGCGAGAGATTGTGGGTTCGATCCCCACCGTTGGTTTCTTTTTTACCTATCGTTTTTTGATGCATACCGCAGCTCTTCACCCCCGTACTCCTGTTAAGGGAGTACAGTAATTGTTTGCATTTTTGTTTTGTTTTGTTTTTTTCTCGGCGTTTTTTGAGCGTGTATTAGCTGAGCTGCACTGCTGCAGAAGCAGCAGAACCGGCATCCGCCAAGGAGGCGGCAATGTCCGCATACATCATCCGTCGTCGTCTCTTTCACCGCGAGCTTCCATTATCGTCCCTTGCGTATATCTTCTACATCTCAACGACTTTCGACCTGCAAATACCCAGTGACCGTCTCACCGCCTCCCCATACATACACAAGAACCCCCCACCATGGACATCCGCCAAGCAACCGTATGTAATTCGTCGCGCCCTTTGCGGATCTTGCTGACATTCTTTTCAGATTGACGACCTGCTCGGTATGCAGAATGCCAACCTTCTCAATCTGCCAGAAAACTACACTTTCAAATACTGCATGTATACCATTAGCCTGGGAGGACGACGCTGACTTAGGCGATAGATCTGTACCACGCTCTTACATGGCCCGAACTGTCTTATGTGGCTGTGGACCCCAAGGGGAGGATCGTCGGCTATATCTTGGCCAAGATGTGAGCACCCACCCACAAATACCTGTCCAATATACTGACCGAATATGTAGGGAGGAAGAGCCCAGCGAGGAGCCTAGCGGACACGTCACATCAATCTCCGTCCTCAGGCCCTACCGAAGATTAGGTCTCGCCAACAAGCTCATGAAGCAGTCTCGTACGTTCTTTAACTCTACTTCAATGGGGCCAAGCTGATGTATATCATACAGAGGAGGCGATGGTAGCCCACTACAACGCCCACCACATCACACTACACGTCCGAAAATCCAACCGAGCCGCCATCTCTCTGTATCGTGACAGTCTTGGGTTTGAGGTGCAAGGGATGGAGAAGGGGTACTGTGAGTGTCTTTGTATCTGCTACTTGGCGTGATATAGCTAATGGTGGTACAGATGCCGATGGCGAGGATGCGTACGGCATGAGGTGTCTGTTCAAGAAGGAGGAGGATACCAGCGTTGCTGTGTAGATGTGCATATATGTAATGAGGTGTCAAGCATATTCGAGGGAGACCTCTCCATTTGAGCATTGTGCATCTGGACAGTGGCTGGTGCGCAGCTGGCACGGCGTGGGAGAGCGTCATATGCTCGTGAATTTTGGGCAGCGGCATACGCTTCGTTGCATATCGCTATGTCGTCCTTTGATTATCTGGGACTGAATGACGGGGTGGGGGGGCTGTCTACTGATATTGAATGCCCAAGAGAGCCCGGCAATCGCTCATAGGGGCCTTCTGCTGTTAAAACAACAGGCTGGACCTTACGTAAATAGCGGGATCAATTTCACTCTTCTTTCTTTCTCGCTGCCCATCTACGGATGATGCTCGTGATAATTCAAGTTGCCCATCCATCCACAAAACCCCATCTCCACCATGGACTCCTACGGCTACGGCGAACCCTCCAGCTCGAATCAACCCCAGACCATCGACGTTCCCGTCGGACCCACCAACCAGCCCAAGATCCTCCTCCGCAATCTCAATGACTCCGAGGCGACTTTCCATCTGAGCGGTACCGAGCTCGCATTCGCCAACAGCTTGAGAAGAGTGGTCATGGCGGATGTGCCTACTATCGGTACGCACCTGAGGACTCTGGAAATAGCGTATGCTGAGCCGCGCTGTAGCTATTGACCAAGTCCTTTTCCTTCAAAACACCACTCCTCTTGCCGACGAAATGATCGCCCACCGTCTCGGTCTTATCCCCCTGATCAGCCGGGGCGTTGAAAAAGGACTGCGATACACAAGGGATTGTGATTGTGATGAAGGGTGCTATTACTGCATGGTGACTTTGAAGCTGAAGGTGGCGTTCAATGGGGATGGTTTCATGAAGATCACGAGTGATATGCTGGAGGTCATTCCCAGTCCCGGTGGAGTGAGTTAGACAGCCGTTTACTTTTGTGTCTCACTGACGTGTGCTTAGCCTCCGCCGCCAAACCCTTACGGTCCTCCCCCGGAAATCTCTGAAGAAGACCGAGTCATCATGGACCACCGCGACAATGAGATGGGTATTCCTATTGGCAAGGGCAACGCAGCTATTCCACCTATATTGATTGCCAAGATGGGTAAGGGTCAATCAATCGACCTTGTATGCAAAGCGTACAAGGTGAGTCTTTGCCTCTGAGATGGGGACGTGACTGATGTGGTTGTAGGGTATCGCCAAGCACCACGCCAAATGGTCGCCATTGTCAACAGTCGCGTTCGAGTACGACCCCTATAACAAGCTGAGACATACCACTCATTGGTTTGAGACGGATGGTGAGTCTTCTCTTCTTCGAGTTTACCAATACTGATCGGTACAGAACGCGGCGAGTGGCCCCTCTCCAACAACGCCATCTTCGAAACCCCTCCCGAGCCTAACGCCCCATTCGACTACAACGCCGTCCCCTCCACTTTCTACTTTAACGTCGAATCCGTCGGCTCCATCCCTGTCCGGTCGGTCATCGAGCAAGGCTTGGATATCTTGGTGGAAAACTTGGCGGGGGTCATTTTGGCGGTGCAGAAGGAGACGGGTGGTGATGAAGAGGAAGGAGAAGGCGGAGAGCAAGGAGGGATTATGGAGCCCAATATGCAGGGTATGGGGGGTATGAACGGGCACGCCGAGCAGGGGTACGGGGCATGGTAGAGATGCGGGGTGGAATAACGATAGAGCAGGAGATGAGATGTACGGTCTCTTACCGGCCGGCTTTTCACCTACATCCTTTCAGCGATGATCCTTTCACCCCACCGTCTCGTCAAAGACAAGCCAACATGTGTCTACTGACCACATCTCTGTAGCAGCATGGCGTCCATTGCAGAACAACTAAAGAAAGCCGAGGCGACCCTCGAGGATGCGAAGAAGAGGGGATCATCCTCCGTCCCGACTCATGAGAAGGAGGTGAAGCGACTCCAAGAGGAATCTGAGAAACCACAAGCTCATCCAGCGTAAGCGAAATCTCTGCACACGTTTATGGCGAAACACTGATGGTAACAGCCTTCAATTCAACGAGTATGCTCAGTGTATAGCGGTGATGTGTGCTTTGAGTCTACGTGAGTCTTCTCAGTAGCTAGATTGATATCTCGCTGACGTGACTAGTCATGGCCTCCTCGCCTCTACCTCTACAGCTCATACCATTCTACCGCATTTTCAGCACAGTCACAATGATAGCAGTGACGTGAGTCTATAGCTCTCTGATCAGGACGCATTTTGATGCAGAGGCAGAGGCTACGTTGTGAGAGCGTCCATCATCTACTACGGATATCAACAAGAGCTCGCAAAATGGCCTAAACCCGACGACCCGGAAGGTTCTAAACTAAAAGCTTTGATGGCGAGTAAGAAACCTCGTCCAGACCTCTGGGTAAGCTACGTTTGACGATGATGGCAGAAGGACTTACCAACAATGTCGTAGGCACATACACGATCTCATCCTTCAGCATTCCTTACGACAAAGAACGCCCAACCGCGACTGTTTCCCTTCCCTCTCGGAAAAACGAGGCCAGAAGCTGCTGTCAAAGATGAGCTATGGTGGGAGGGCGGTAATGCGCCGCACGTCGTAAGTCTATCCCGTACTGGTACAGAACAAAAACTCACTTATAGAAAAGGGTCATTTCAATCGTCCGAAACTACCTGCGCCTCCAGGTGGGCCCGACGAGCAGACTTTGATGAAGAGGGTGCAAGCAAGCATGAAGCGGGAAGCTCAAGAGAACCTCTGGAGAAGGAGGATCAAGGATATACAGGCGTTGAGCTGTATCGTCATTGTGTCTTTCCGTACGTTCATCCCACGTTCTTTGCCGACGCTCTCCCTGACCTCTCGAGCATATAGTCAGCAAAAAGGTGGCAGCCATCGCCCTCGCCGTCCTCATCTACCGTACCGTCTCCTCCGAAATCGCCGGCATGCTCGAACCTCCCGACGACATGGACAAGGTCTGGGCCGCCATCGACAAGGTTACAAGAGGTGCTCAGAGGAACGAAAGCGCACCCAAGCCGACGCAGTTGACGGGCGGTATGACGTACTTGTTTGAGCAAGATGGAGATTGGGTGAAGAAGCTGGCGGACGTACCGGTGGATACTGTGCCGCCGCCGGTGTTGATGACGACTACGAATCATTGGTATGCTGGTCCTGGTAATGAGATGAAGGGGTAATGTAGCATGTCGCTTCGTACCGAAACATACACTTCTGTAACTCTTACGTGACCTCGACAATGAACGCTACTTGTCGTGCTCCAGTCCTTACCCGGTATACCCCGACAATTAAAGAAGTATTGCCAGAGAGGCTGTAGGCAACATATCGAAGTCGCAAGCGGATGATGATGATCACATACGACAAATTACAAACATCACTGATGATTAAGTTACGACTATGCAGACTGTCAACGAGAAGAGTTGTAAGACCGAGCACGCCAACAGAAAGTGATTATCACCACAGAGGAAGTGTACAACAAAGGTCAATGAGAAGAAGAGAAGTATAGTATCATAAAGCGACTAGAACTCAAAGACAGAAGAAGGAGGGCTGATGGAAGACACCTGAGAGCGCATGAAGGAGATCTAAAACCATGTCAGTGAAGACTGAGAAAGATGGTTCGCGACAGGCTTACCTTCCACTCTTCACGATCCTCATCCAAAAAAGTCAACTTGACAAAATCGAACTACGAAGACGTCGTCAGCGGGAGTCACCTGACTCAACAGTTCACAAGAGCTGAAGAGACTCACGCGTTCGTCGCCATTCATAGCGTGCATCAACAGCTCAGCATCGTGCGTGGTGAGAGTAAGGTCCATGTTCCCGAGTCGAACGTTACCTCCCGACCAAAGATGAATGGGCGTCTGGGGCTACGATACGTGTCAGCAACAGCACCTAGACAGGAGAGTGAGTGAAGCGAGACTAACCTGATGTGTAGCGAACCTGTCAATAAGATCATCGGCAGCCCGAGAGTAGATTGACGAAGTGGAGGTGGTAGAAGATGCGAAAGAGGACGCGCGGGTGGTCTTGCCGAGAGTAAGAGGAGGGATGTCTTCAAGAGGGACGAGGGTTCGGAGGGCAGAGCTGGTGAGCTGAGTGGTAGACATGATTGAATGCGCTGGGGATGATGGATGCAAAGTATAGGCTGAAAGACTGGTGGCGAATGATCAGGATGAAGAAGAGGTGAGAAGATGATTTTCTTTCCCAATGTAAAGCTCTTTATATATCCCTCGCCGCCCCATCTGAGTACAGCCTCATGTCAAGCATCACTCGCTCATCCATATCTACATCCAATAGAGAATGGCCCTTTTCCCCACCCTCGACACCGGAACGAGAGCAGATCAGCGTCGAAAGGCTACTGCGAAGTGTGAGACGGAAAGCCAAACCCTGGTGATCAACGGTCATTTCCGATGTGAATGGGCGAGTCGGAGATGGGGATGATAGCCGAGAGATGGGAAAGCCCATACGACGTTAGATCACTGCAATTCAGGGTCTGGAAGGCGGAGTATACAGCTTTGTTTGTCCGGGAAATTTCTGGGCCCCCCCACTGACCCCTCCTTCCGCCGAGAGGGTCGGGGCTGGGTTAAATGGTCGAATCACAAAGCTGAACAAGTAGTGCGATGGTGAGGAAAGAAGCGAGGGGGGCTGATCATGGTTACTCGTGACCGTATAGACACGGGGTGTGCATTTGATTCATCCGGTGACATCTGTGTCGCATGGCTGGCAGTGTAGTGGCGAGGGGGGCAAGAAAGCAATTCAGCACAAAGAGGAGAGAGTTACAGTGGCGCATCGACGTCGACGCCTCTCGACATCGCATACGCCAACAGCCCCACTCATTTGATATGCGGGGCACATGATCATCATCCATAACAAAAGACTATCAAACAAACAGGACAAGAGGGGAACCAAAGGACGGTAGTCATCGAGGGACTCGATCAAGAAGTTGCCAACGGAAAGGATCCAGGGCAGTCCACCGCCGTCCACCTCATAACGCGCTGTTCGGGGGTGAACCACATAATAGTACTTGGCATATTGGAGGAAGACCTCTATGTACGCATGGAAGATGCAAGCATGGCAACAGCACAGTCGTCACGGCACACTGTGCAATCCCGGTCTCAACGTGGTGTTTCCGACATCATCGGCGGCCTGAATTCCGGGCTGGCTGGCATGTACGATATGAAGTACACCAAAGGCTCGACTCTCTCGGCACTGCAACATCCCAAATGAAAGTGAATCTACATACGCTACTGTACTCTACTGTACATCAAGTTCCAGAACCCATAATTGACCGAGGCTGTACATGAGTGGTGGCGAAAGATCTTCCCATCGGTCGCAATTATAGGCTGATCATTATGCGTAACGGCGAACCTCGACGACGAAGATCATTGTCGACTATGATTCCATCAATCGTGTACTGGAGACGTCCAGAAGTGCATCCCATCAACATTGAGCAGATTCTTGATGCGTGGCCACGTATCATATTCATGCATAAGGCAACACGAGTATCCTACTGCTACCTGGAGGGAATATATGTTGTCAGCAACGGCTATTCCGCATCTTCGACCTACAACCACTATAAGCTTCTGACCCTCCTAGCCTACTCTAGAAGGGAGGTTTTCACAGTCGTGTCACGGATACTACTATCATTGGACGGATCCCCAGTGACATTAATCCAGGTCAAAGTCTTGTCATCAAACGGTGTCTGCACCCCATGCTCCGCCCTCAACCTCCTATTTTCACCTTCCAGAACCTCAAACGTGCTCTTTACAGTGAAGGGTGCCTGGGTAGACCTGTCGCCAGTCTCGTTCCCCAAGCAGACTCGGCAGCATAAATCTGATCCCACGCATCTTCCCAGTCTTGCGAGACTGTAGCGCTCGTTCCATCAGGCTGTGAACATGTATAGTATCGTCATCAATGAATGGGTAGTATCACCTGGGCATCAACTAACAAACACAAGCAATGCGTGAATCCAAAATCCACCGTAACGCTACCGAATCGGGGCCATGAAGGGTCGCTCATTCTTGCGTTTAGGCGGTTTGACTTGTCTCTGCGATAAGATGACTTGTACAGCTTCTCGTTTCGGCAGAGATACTCCCAGCTTATTTGTATAGTCCACAATCATCCCGTCATGACCGACCGGCCATAGTAGCTTTTCCAAAACCTTTTACCCTTCTGCGGGTCTCGGACGAGACTCCGCTGATACGCATGTTGATCTCAGCTCCCATGTCTGTGCACCTTTCAGGGATGATACAAGGATTGCCATTTGTGGACCAAATACTCCTCGATTGCTCGACCCTTACGTCCAACAAGATCTAGTTTTGGGCCCGTACTCCTTCTCAAATCGATCTCTTTTTCTTTTATCGCGCATCATACCTCGCTCCATACACAAGAGAACCAAACCACACCTCGACGCCTCAAAGTTTAATGGAGGTGTCCATCAATCGAGCCGAGAATCAACAAAAGTACCTCGAGTGCGATGGGGTCATCTCTCTACTTTTCGATATTACCGCCATTCAAAACTTGCCTTTACTTGGTCTTTGTTGAACTAATCTACTTTCAGTACTACTCCGTGATGATTACAAGCTCTATGTTTCTCTGCGCTTGTATCGCACACACGTCCGCTGAAATTCCATTCTAGCCCGCGTGCGTTGAGCGGGTGCTCTTCTCCCGTTCTGTAAAACAAGTATGCAGGAGCGGAGGAGGGTGATACGCCACTTCGCCTCGGGCCAAGCCAACCAAAACACTCACTTTGCTCTACGTCAGCATTTCTCTGATATCCCATTGCATTTACAAAACATCATAAACTTTCTCTTTTGAATATGATCATGTTATTGCCCGTCCTTCTCTCCGATTCTTCTTCTCGTGTATGATTACAGATGTCATCGCACGTCCTTCTCTCAGACCCTTCTTCCTCTGCTGGGTAAGAACAGACCCCGAAGTGTATGTCGATCTCATCCCACTCCTTCTCTACCACCACCTGCCCTAGTTAGACCCACGCACCCAAGACATGATGGAGGATGATGGATGACGGATGATGGATGACGGATGATGGATGATCATCGCTTACTGGCCATAGGTCAAGGTAGTCAGAGGTAGAGAGGAACAGTGTCTGCTCGAATCAAACACTTGTGAACGTGAACGACAAGTATTCGTAGACTTGGAAAGATCTGCAGCTAGCGAGGAGGTAAGATGACGAGGGGTCAAGAGTAACATGGAACGGTTTCCTTTTCGTTCGCGGGTGACGTGTACACGCGCTCGGGCCTCGGACCGCTAATCATCCAACGACCACAATGAAACATGTCTATTACTTTGGTCATCAACTGTACTTTTTTCTATATATCTATCCTCTATCCTTCCTCCCATCCTCCCATCCTCCCATCCTCATTCCAACAAAATCTAGAGCTAGAAAACTAGATCTTCCCCTCCAACAGATTCCCAATCATCTCCCTCCCCGTAATCCTCACAGTATGGTAGAGCGTGATGACGTCCATGGTGGAGAAGATGGTGTCGGCGAAACCAAAGGGGAGCATTAGGGGGATCCAACCTACCACCTCATGTTAGCTTATCCCAACATACACAAAATACAAAGCAGAATGAGGAGAGAAGACGAAGAGGGGAGAAGAAGAAGAAGAAGGAAGAAGAAGAAAAGAGAGAAAGACCCACCCCTAGCATACTCAAGCGCCCAACTCTCCGGCTCCATAGCATACTGCTTAACCACCCCCCTCTTCAAATGATGTACGTCCCCAGCCCCATAAACCTCCCTTGTGAGAGAACCAGCTTCGTAGGCGGTTTGGGTACCGGTAAGGATGTGGAAGTAGTCGTCGGCGGTGTGGCGGCCGGTGTGGCCTTCTGTGCCGATGGCGGAGCCGAATATGATTAGGTATCTGAGGGGGCGTTAGCGTTGGTCTAGAGAGTAGGTGGGGAGATGTGGAAAGAATAGGAGATGGAAGGGAGACTGGGGATGACGAGGGCGTCAAGAGACAGTGGGTATACCCGCCCACCCACCCCACTGATACTACTGCTCGCTCCGCTCACAGTCCTACCTCCCTCCCCAGAAAGAAAGACTCACTCTGTAACACTCGCATGCAGAATAAACATACTCCCCATCGCCCCCCCCGCATTATTAAACACCCACTCCCCCCTATCCTCCCACCCCGTCGCCCACCTCGCCTGCGGATGATCCTCCACCAACTTCTTTACCAGTATATCCACTACCAGCGTCGCATTGGGGCTGGCGCCGGGGGAGAGGGATCTAGCGCGGGCGAGGGATTCTTGGACGGTGGTGTTGAGGGAGGCGGGGTCGAGGATGTAGAAGTGGTGCTACCGAGTCATCAGTAAGGCTACGAGCAAAGAAGAGGGGGCTTACGTTGATGGTGTTGGCAAAAGTGTAAAGAGCGACGAGGGCAGCCAAGATGAGACCTCTGATCGACCACTTCTTGACGCAGCCGGAAGAGGGAGCGGAAAGCGGGGGGGCCTTGTTCGGGTTGCGGGGTTTATGGGACGAGACCATGGCGAAAGAGGGTGGATGCCGGTGGGCGTGGGGTGATCCAGATGTGTTCAGATGTCAACAACAACATTTCGAAACCAGTTCGAAACTCATCGTACGAGCCCAAACGCTCAAGAGTAGATGGGAATAAAAGCGGAATCAATCTAGGCACAGTGTCGAACCGGGCGGGCAGCCCAGAACGGGATCAAAATGGCCGCCGGTCTCGAGTTGTTGCTTCGCTGCAGCTTCGCTGTCATCGTTTTCTCCATCTTCTCTTGCATCTGCATCTCCACCATGTCGTCGTCCCAAGAGCAGGGGCCCCGCCCATCCACCCCCCAACCCCAACCCCCCTCCACTCCCAACGACCCCCAACCCCCCCGCCCCCGTCCAAACATCTCCTCCATGCTCTTCATGACCGCCTTCTTCTTCTTCATGTCTGGCGGCAACCACGCCCCCGTCAATTCCGGCTCCGAGATCGGTCCAGACGGGCAGATAGCACCGGGGGTGACAGAGTATGAGTGGGTGAGGGGGCAGAGGGATGAGTGGCGGGGGTGGTTGAATGGGACGGGGAATTATATAGAGGTATGCTTCTGTTTCTTCTTTGTGGCAAGGCTAATGTGGTGTAGCCGCCAATACCGGAAGTACTCCCAATGGCCTTGATCCCACCCAAATACTCCCACAAACCCACCGAACACGGCTTCTACACAAACATCACAGGCTTCTACCGCGGCGCCACCATCCACCCCCTCTCCCTCTCATCCCTTTCATCCCCAAATTCCTCCCTCTCATCATTCTGGCAAGGCTCCACCATCCCCCCTGCGATCAACCATACAGCTAGCTGGAATGAGACCCGAGCCGAAGCTATGCGGGGATCATGGGATTGGGCAAGTACGGTGCGATGGGATATGTCCCTCCGCGAACGAAACATCTCCAAACCAATAGGCGACGAGTGGAAGTCGAAAGAAGATGTAGAGTATACCGACTGGAACTGGGTCAAAGGTTCCTTCACCCTAACCTCCCGTCCTCCCAACCAAGTATCCACCCTCAACGACGAAACGATCATATACGACTTTTACGGCCTCCACCACCTCCCCAACGGGACATACAACCTCTACGCCCTGCCTGTCGGTATGCGCCCCGACGTCCGGCGATTACCCGGTCTTTGGGGGGAGGGGAAGAATGGGGTGCAGGGGAGTGTAGGGAATGTTACGAGGGGGATCTTGTTGAGGGAGATGGAGAGGGAGGTTGGGAATCAGGAGAACGCGTTTGTGCTTGGGAATATGAAACCCGACGGTAAGCCTTCCCATCTTCTCCCCTCTTCTCCCCTCCGCCCTAAGCTCATGAAATGAAAAAAAGACATCTCTGAAATAACAACCTGCCCCCTCCTCATCTCCCTCACCCTCCCTCCCCTCCCCCCACACTGGAAAGCCGAAATCGACGCATACGACCGCGAACTCGTCAACCCCACTGGCCTGCTGGCAAGTATGAATCGTCCACCAGGATACTGGCAAACCCTCCCAGGCTTGGGCGGGGTTGTCGTCGCAGACCAATGCGGCTGGGCTTTGGGGATTGAAGGTGGGAAGGGTGTTCCGGTGGGGGAATTTTGGAGGGACGGTGTTACTTGTATGTCCCTTCCCCCTTCCCACTTCCCTCTCCCTATCCCGCGTCCTCTTTCTCTTCTCTTTTTACAAGCTCACGGTATCGCGCAGACTCAGCATTCGCCACCTTAACCCAACTCCTTCTCCTCACCCTCCTAATCCACCAAATGGAATCCACCCGGACCCCCTCAACACTATCCAAAGTATCCCTCTGGACTATCATCATCATGTCTATCGCCGATAGTTATGTCTTCAGTATTCATGTGGTGCTTGGTATACTGGGCGAGGGCGGCGGAGGGGGGGTGGGAATGTTTGTACCTGGGTTTTTGGGATTGTGTGGGGCCGTTATCTTTGGACCTGTACGTCTTCTCTGTTCTTTTTACCCTTCTTTCCTTCTCTCTTCTTCTTTTCTCTTCTCCTCTGTCTTTTTTTTTTTTTTTTTTTTTTTCTCTTTAAAATAAGGAAAAAAAAACTAACATGGCGGTTTAGAGATACGCCGTACTCCTACACCGTATCCAAGCCCCCGAAGTCGATTCGCGCCCCCCTCCTCCTCCTGCCCCGCCTTCTATCGCTCAAGCCCCTCTCCCAGCCCCCGCGGACAATACAGCCCCCATCAACCAAGCTCCCACCAATCAGGTCAACCGAATCCCAATCGCTTCCGAACCCCGATTCAATATCAATGTTGTAGAAGTGGTGAGGTCGGCGTTTAGGGCTGCGCCTGCTTTGAAATGTACGCCTTCCCCCTCACTTCCCTTCCCTTTCCCTCTTCTCCTCTGTCCCATTCCTTCCGTTCCGTTCCGTTCCCTTTCCTTTTCCTTCACCCCTCCCTGCACCCCTTCCCCTCGTCCCTCCTCTCTCACCACTGTCCGAGATCCAAGCTGAACGTCCCACAGGGCTCCTCCTCCTAACAACCCTCTTCCTCCTCCCCTCCATCCTCTTCACCCCCCGCCTCATCCCCTACGTATTCTACACCATCTACAGTTTCTGGATTCCCCAGATCTGGCGGAATGCTCGGAGGGGGAATGGGCGGGCTTTGGAGTGGCGGTTTGTTTTGGGGAGTGCGGTGGGGAGGGTTGGGTTGGTTCTTTGTACGTCTCCCTCCCCTATTCATCTCTTTGAGAACAAGAAAGAAGAAGGCTGATATTGGAACAGATGCGTTCGCATATAAAGACAACATCTTCTTTATCGAACCCAAAACCTGGGTATGGGGCTTGGTTCTGTGGCAAGCGGTACAAGTTCTCATACTCTACGCTCAAGAAAAGTTCGGTCCTGCATTTTTGTACGTCACCCTTCCCCTTCTCTTCCACAACCGACTTTGGCTGACGAGGGCCTGTGTAGCCTTCCCAAAAGCGTACGTCCCCTCACTCAACCTCACCTCAACCACGTAAAAGAAAGAAGCTAACAACGCATTTGTTGGGAAACAGATGGCACCCCCAGAAATGTACAACTACCACCCCCACATCCCACCCCCCGACGCCGAAAACCCCACACCCTTCGACGGCGAGACGACGTGTTCGATCTGTTATGACGATGTCGACCTTCATCCCTTCTCCCCTTCCCACCCCTTCTCGCCTCATTCCCCTTCTCACGCTCACTCGAATGGTCATATGAGGGCGGCATCAACTTCAAAGACTGGGGGGAAAGGGAAAGATAAAAAGGACGAAGCACGAGAAGGAGGGAGGGACGTACTTTCAGGACTGGGACTGGGCGATAGGAGAGGGTATGCGATAGCGCCTTGTGGACATGTGTTTCATACGGATTGTTTGGCGCAGTGGATGGGTATCAAAGTGAGTCTTTTCTTCTTTCTTTTTTGATCCCTTACCTCTCTCTCAAGAATCGAGGGCTGTGGGAAGAGGGAGAAGGGGTGGGGGAGAAGAGAAAGAGAGAAAGGGGCTGATATGGGATCGTAGACGATATGTCCTCTTTGTAAGAGGAGTTTACCGCCAATGTAAGAAGGGATTGAGGACTCTTGCATGGACGAAAGAGATGATGATATGAGGGGGAAGGATTGTTGTAGACTAGAGCATGTAATGATATTCTTTTCCTCCAGCCACGAGTCCACGAGCAAAGACAGAAGCAAACGTCAGCCCGGCGGTCCACAGACCACAGACCGCAAGCGGTGATGTCACCACGGCATTCGCCGCCTGTCTTGGTGTTGTTGCGACTGCGTCGAGCCGCCCGAGCGCCATCCATCTCTCTTTCAACTTTCTCCTAACCCAAGCAAAGCATGGCGCCCCCCTCGATCCTCTCCCCCGATGACAAGGCCAAAGTAAAAAAGGCCGTCCCCACCTCGAGCAGCTCAAACAAGATCGTCACCGCCACCGTCGCTAGAGTTTATCATGCCAAACCCGGCGCTAATTCGTACGCCCCTCTTTCTTTATCTCCCTGGAACCATTAGGGTAGGCGGGAGAGTAGAAGGCTGACGGGGAATTTGTAGCTGGTCGTACTCTGGAGTCGAAGGCGCGATGGTGTTCTGCGCCGACAAGGCTAAAGGCGGTCTATGGTTCCGACTAGTCGACCTCACTGCAAGTCCTTTCCATCTCCTCCCATCACTCCGGAGCTAACATGCTTTCATGGTACAGTCTTACAGAGGCGTGATCTGGGAACACGAACTCCCGAACGAGATTGAGTACAACCAGGAAAAGGCATTCTTCCATACCTGGCAAGGCGATGTGCGTCATCTCCTCCAGCAAGCTCTTGGGGTTGTGGCTGATAAAAGAGATAGGATCAATCATTCGCATTCGTATTTCCCAGCGAGACTGAAGCCCACTCGTTCTACAAAAAGGTCGCCAACCGCTCCAAATACGCTAGTACGTCCCCCTCGTCCCATCTGGACAAGCCCCTGACTATGCTGCAGCCAAGATCAAAGAGAAGAAGGAGCCTGCGGAGAAGAAGGAAAAGTCTACACCCACCAAGAAGAAGGGCGGTAAAGCCAAGATCGACAAATCCATGATCTCTGGTCCCGTACGTCCCTTACTTACCCCTGCGTAGAAGCCAAGCTGACATGGGCGCAGTCTGTTGGGTCATTCCGACACGTCGCCCATATGGGCTTCGACTCTGAAAAGGGTTTCTCTTCCTCTGGTGTCGATCCCAGCTGGCAAAAGCTGCTCGAACAGTTGACGCAGAAAGGGTTCTCGGAGAAGGATATCCAGAATAATCAGCAGTTTATCCAAGACTTTGTTGAGCAGCAGGGTGGTATCGAAAAGGTACTTCACTCTCCCATCTACAGGAAAAGAAGCTGATGAGGGTATAGGCGACGGCTCCAAAGAAACCACCCCCTCCCCCAGCCCCAACCTCTCGCCGAAAGCCCGCTCCTCCCCCACCCGCATCCCGCGCCAACAGAACAAGCACAATCACCTCGCCCTCTTCCCCCGCTCCATCTTCTCCCATACCCCCTGCTCCCCCAGCCCGAACATCAGCCGCGCCCTCAGCGCCCCCTCCTCCGCCCCCGCCTCCTCCAGCACGAACAGCAGCGCCTCCTGCCCCTCCACCACCAGCGCCCCCAGCGCCCCCGGCAAGAAGCAACGTCCCTCCCCCACCACCCCTCCCTCCAACCCGCTCTTCCGCCCCCTCGGCCCCTCCCCCTCCTCCTCCCCCTCCCGCTCGCCCATCAGCCCCTCCCACATCCCCCCCCCCCCCCCCCGCCGGAGCCGGCGGCGGCCACTCGGCCCTCTTTGCGTCTATCCAAGGTAAAGGCGTCGGCAATCTTCGTAAAGTCGACCCCACTGAACAGAAGGTGTCGCCCCTGGCTGGAGGCAGTGTGGTGGCTGGTGCGGCTGGGGGAGCTGTGGTTGGTGCTGGGGCTGCGGCGGCTGTAGCGTCTACGCAGGAAGACAGTGAGTCATTGTCTGGGATGGGTGTTGAAGTGGCTGACAATGTGATAGATGGTGGTGATCTGGCGTCGAGTCTAGCGGCGGCGTTGAGTAAACGAAAGGCTGATATCGGGTCGGACGATGAAGATGAAGAAAGCGACGACGAGTGGGACTAGTAATACGAGTAAAGTAGCATGGACTGTTTCAACGAGAAATGCAAATAATTGCCTGCACAAAGAGGTATAACCCACATGGTATTCATAATGTATTAACCCCATTACGCGTCGAAGACTTTTTTAAACAACCATTTCTTTAGAATACGTATCACATAGAAAAGAGAAAGTGGAGAAGGATAAGTAAGAGAAGAAGGACGGGAAATGCAATATAACAAGGTTGAAAAAGAAGAAAGAAGACTTTTACCATTCCTCCATCGAGAGAAGCGATCAAAAGAAGGAAAAGAAAAGAGACATCTAAATCCGGCCCATACCGACCATCCCCTTTACCGCCGGCCCAAGATTCAACACTTCCTCAAACCCGCCTTTTTGCGGCTCTACGCTCTTCCCATTGCTCGCCCCGTTCACACTCCCATTCCCAGTCCCATTCCCCTGGCCTTTCCCCCCATCCCCGCCATCCCCAGCGTTCGCCCCAGCAGCATCCCCAACCTCCCGCCGTATCCGCTCACTCTCCCTCAAACTCTTACTCAGCTCCACCTCCCCCTGCACCACCACCCCCTCCAGCCACTTGTGCTCCAGCAGCTCGCTCGCTTTCGCCCTCTCCCCGGGCTGGTAGCAAAGCATGGGCCCGAGGAAGGATGAGAGCTGTTCGGCATCTTCTTTTTCCATGAGGTATTTTTCTTGGAGGACGGAGATGAGGGGCCAGAAACGGAGTCGGTTAATGTGCCGGAGTTCGCCTGAGTACACCATCAGTATTGAGCGGGAAAGGGGAGAGGGGAGAGGAACGTACCACGACGGTTGAAGATCTCGTGACTGTACTTTCCATTCATCGCGAGCGTACGCGGCATATCTCCGAGCAACTCCATGATCTGCGCAATATGGTCGTCGTCTTTATCATATTTCACCCCAGGTTGCGGGTCAAACAAGTAATCTCCCGTCAACAGCTCGAAAAACTAACAACCCCCATCAGCCTCTCCCCTTCCCTTCACAAGAAAAAGGGGCGACTTACCAAACAAGCAGCACTCCACATATCCACACTCTCATCCCACTTTGTCCCCAAAATAATCTCCGGACACCGATACTGTCTCGTCTGGATATCATTCGTAAAATGATGGTCCACCCAACATGCATTCCCCAAATCCGCAATCTTGACCGTGATCTTCTCCAAACTGACGGGGTCGTACGGGAATGGCGGTGGAAGATGGTTCGGGTCCCCAGCTTCGGGCGCTCTATCGTCGTTCTCTGGTAATCGGCTTAAATGGTCTGGCGTCGTAGCCGGCGTCGACACGTCCGTCCCATCGTCCAGCGGGGCGGAGGGTACGGAGGAGGTGGATTCGGAGGGTGCGGCGTTGAGAGGTGGAGAAGCGGGGTGGGTGTGGAGTTGTTGCGAGAGGAGGGAGGGGCCGGAAGCCGGTTGGGGAGCGGGTGTACTTGTCTTTTCCCATTTCAGACCGCTCCCTTCGCCAAGCTTGACATTCTCCAGTCCATTCCCGATCGCATCCGTCGATGCGCCCTTCTTCCCTCCGGCTCCACCTCCCGCACCAGAGGCAGAAGCAGAAGAATCAGGAAGCAAACTCTCCTTGGGCGCGCTCGCACCCGAGATTTTCGACATGCCGAAACCATACTTGTCGAGCATGGGCGACGAAGAGTAGCTCGAGCTCGGACTGGGTAAAGGCTGCGACCCGACGATAAAGATGTTATCCTTTCTCGGCGTCTGGTTCCCCATCCTCCCCTGCGACGGCGGCACACCCACAATCTTTGTCGGTACCGCCGCAGGGCAAGACGCCAGTTCCGCCTGCACGACAGACTCGACATCATCAATACAGATGAGCACATTCTCCGGCTTCAAATCCGTATGAATCACCCGGCACTCCTTGTGCAGATAATCCAGCCCAAGCAACACTTGCTTTGCAATCTGCTTGACGATATGCTGCGGCACGCCCCTGTGCTGATACCTCTTGATCAACCCCAACAGATTCTCGCCCAGCACCTCAAACACCATACACACATGCGACCCGTTCGGGCCTGTATGTCTGAAAGAGTCGAGCAAGCCGACGACGTGGTGTCTGCCAGCGTGGGTGGGGGAGGAGTTGACGACGCGTTGGAGGAGCTGAATCTCGTCGAGGGCTGTTTCGGTGTAGTGGCCGTCGGATTTGACGACTTTGAGGGCGACGTGGCGGTTTGATCTGCTTCATTGTCAGCCTTCTGCCTCTTCCCTTCGCTCCGCTCCACTCGCTCCCTCCCGCCCCAATAATATAGAGAAGAACGCACAAATTATCCCTAGCCAACCAAACCGTCGAAAAATGCCCCCACCCAAGCTTCCTCACAATCACATACTGCCCCGTCTTGAACTCATCCCCAATATTCACCGGGTGATACCCCCCCGGCCTGTAATCCTCTAGGTCCTCTTCGTCTTCTGTCAAGACTGATGTTGCTTGGGAGGCTTGGGAGATGGAGAGGGAGTTGGCGGCGGAGGATTGTTGGGGGTTTTGGGCGTGGGCGTGGGCGTGGGGGACGTTGAGTGGTGGGGGGGTTGGACGCTGGAGGGGGTGTTAGTAAGGGTAGAGGTATATGGGTTTAGAGCAGCCGGATCGATTCGCTTCCAAGTGCAGTACGCAAAGTGGCAGAGTACGCCGTGAAACGCAAACATAGTGAGAGACCGTTGACCACTCTTCGCGACGGCTCGACGGTCCATACGAACCGCCCCCAAACCAGATCTCATCCCCTCTCACGCGCTCGATCCAAGACCCCATACGCCATGACTCAATGCACCACCCCGTCTGCCCCTCCCATCCTCTCAGCCAGCACCCGAACGCCCACAGAGAGAAGGCCGGATGCACCCCCACCCAGACTTGACGGATGGACGAATAAGACGGCTCGCAAGGGTAATCGCGTGAGTCGCTCCAATGACCGTTGTCGCGACGCAAACAATGCCAAAGAGAGGGGAGAAACCAAACACCCCAAAAGAGAACACTCACGACGTCTGTAGATCCGCACGAGGTAGATGGTAGATGGGCCATTTTCTATAGCGGATGGCCTCTCGTCTTGCAGAGGCGAGGGAGGATGACAAGGAGACGTGAGGGCGGCGACGTTCGTGTAGGGCTCCTTTCTTGTCGGTGAAGCGGTGTGGGCGTCGTGAGGGGCGGGGGCAGTCTATACGAGGGGCTGGAGGCGAGAGGCAGGCGCAGGAGGGGGAGATGGGGGAAGACGGATTATGGGATTGTGTCAACAAATGGGCGGGAGTGGAATGGAGCGAATGGACGAGTTCCCAAGTGGCGACGGCGGACAGCGCTGCGCAAATCCCGGTGCTGTTCTTGACGGAGTCTTCTTCGACCGGGGGGGGTAAGACGGGGGGTGAGTGTGCTCGTAGAATGCGGCAAGGGGGGGGTCTTGGGGAGGAAGTGGAGGGAGAGTGCATTCCATGGGTACCGCTGTTCGTGCATGCCGCCTGGGAAGTGGGACGGGAAGCGAGCTGTGAGATAACCAGGGTAAACTCCCTCAAAATCCGCCTAATGCGCCCCCTAATCCAATAGGAACCCCCATTACACTTTCCTAATCGCTATCAGCTCGTTCCTAATCCTGAGCGTTAATTGGATTAGGACAATGCTCCAATCGCATTTCAAGCTGCTCAGGGCAGGAACAAGTTACCAGTTACCATATTTCAAGAATCTCTCTAAATCTCTCGGGTTTTCTGCCTTTCGTCTCCCGATTGTGGGCTACCTGCTGGCTGTTGATCCCTTCTCTATGCATCCCACCTTCTCTCCCCCCATGAAGTCCCCCCCCTCACCCTTCCCACCTTTCGTACATACCCCCTCTCCTTCTGCCCTTCGTTGAACCCTGCCCATCTCGGACTCTTCCTCTCTCCTGAGTCCTCGGACACCACTCGGACATCACCGAGGATCGAGAAAACTCATACCACGTGGCCCCAAGTCTTGATATAAATTCCCCCATCCGGTAATTTCGCGAAAGCATGAACTCTTCAATTCCGGCCCCTTGCGGCTTGCGGCGCTTCTTTTTCGGGACGCCGATGCTTTTCAGAGGAATATCACAGGTTCGGATTTCTTCGCGCCAAGGGCCGATGCTATGGTGGGCCAATGGGCGGGGGGATATTTGGTTTTTGGAAGGGGTATGACCGACGGGCTTGGGATGGCTTTCGAATCAGAATGGGGGGGGGGGGGGGGCGGGAATGAAGGAAGAGTGAAAGATCTGAGAGGTGGCAAGTGGAAAGGATTCCCCGGAACCTTGTTGAGCCATGAAATTTCCATCAGATAACCCAAAACGCACCGACCTGCGCCAAAAAGTCACCTCAACCGGCGTTTCGCGTTTCACTTGTGCCTTCGTGCTCGAGCTTTGTCATGTTGCACAAGCGAACCAAAGAGTCCAAAGAGTCCAAAGAGTCCAAAGAGTCCAAAAGGTCCAAAAGGTCCAAAAGGTCAAAAGTCTGAAAGCTAAAAGGTGAATAAGCCAAGTGGTGAGAGCCGCGCAGCAACAGGCCACAGCCGCAGCCGGCGGCAACTCGATCGAACCTGGCGTGGAGGCGTGGGGCAAACCGGCAAATGCATGTGGTTCGAGTGACAAGCCTGACTTGAAACCCTGATAGTTTGATTAAATCGACGTCAGTGGCTGGTTTCGTTTCATCGCAATCATGTCAGCAGTCAGTTCAGACTCAGAGACAAGAGACCGGAAAGCGGGTAGTGTGTACTACCAAGTACGACTCTTCAAGAAAGCGCGACGTGTTGACCCGGCGCGCCGAAAGATGAAACAAAAGCCTGTAAATGCATAAACGATAAACGCCGAATAGTATCTCTCGAGCCTATATCACCGAGTCAGCAGGCGCAACGTCAAGATGTATGAAGAACTCATACGTGTAAAGTGAGTGACGGTGTGAAAGCGATTTGAAAATTGCGAATTTCTGCGTTCGGACCATAAGAGACGAATGATCTATAACTGTAACCAGCCCGTCGTCGAGCATCATTGTCTGCCTCCTCGCCCCTACCTATATAATCATCAGCACAAGGACCATTCCCCAAGAGAGACGAAGACTTACATCGGGGACGGTTCATCAGCTTGCTAAAGTTGGCCTGCCGTCTTATCATCAACTACGCTCGGACAAGGTGGAGACGAGAATGAAAGCTCACGGAATATCGACCAGACGGGTGCGGATGTAGCATGTCTTTGCTTAACCAAACGCACACTGGCCAGGGTGACCGTTGCCTTGTTGGTTGTACCAATTGTTGGATATCTTTGATTTCACCCCTGCCATGGACCAGTTCGCGAAGGCGAGCCCTGGGGACGGCAGAGACAGTGAGGAGAAGAGTAGAAGGGCAGTGTAAAGACCCTCGTGTTCGCTTCGCTCATCGGGTGATATAGCCAAGCGAGAAATTGCCGAATGGACGAGGTCCGCGGATAGCTTCGAAGCGATGGGATTGCCGGGGAGATGGCGACAACTGGAAGGTGGGTGCAGGCCGTATGTGACCGAGTACCGAGTGGCATGAAAAATAGCCACATATGTCTGGTGGTGGCACTGGGGCGGTGATAGGCGGATGGACGTGGCAGAGAGGACGAGAATGCTTGTCGTAACTCGTAAAAGACGCGATCTAGGCCTGCAGCGAGCGTGCGGCAAACGGTGGGAGGTAGGTGTGTCGGCGTATGATCCAGCGCGATAGCGAGTACCTCCGGAAGCTCGAGGAGTTTTACTTCCAGGGACTCTCTTGTCTGCCAGAATTCTTCGACGTCGTAGGAGCATGATTGTAGGTAGCTTCGCACGTCGTCTGTGGGGGAGGCTATATCGTCTTTGGAGGAGTAATATGCCGCTGTGTCGATTTAGTGATTGGCAATGGTGACGGCTTTTGGGGTAGAGGGGAAATGCCGGTAACAGGGTGGTCTTGGATGGCGAGGGCAAAGCTGACGAGACCTCGGCAAATGCTGCTAGGGGTATAAGCTTCGACTTGACCACAAACGAGACAATAGACGTGCCATTATCGACAACAACCCCGTTCCCAGTCGACAAGTTTCCACAACTCGTAGATGACAAGCTTTCGGGGACCACCTGAAATGGTTGTCAGTAAAGTGCACTGGAAGTGGCATGTTGAATGATACTCACTCGTTCTTCCACGGATAGCAAGCGCTTTGTAGTCTCTTTAAAATTATGTCTCCATAAGGCCGATAGCCCCACCTCGCATGACGAGAAGAACGAGAGCGTCCGGATCTCGGAAGCGGGGGCAAAGACGGCGTAGGGCAGCTACGCTGGCGAGCGGAGCAGGGATGTGTCAGATGCTGCTTGCTGAACAGCCTCGCGCCATCGCGTCTTCAATGAGTCCAAAGGCGACCATGACAATGACAGCCCTCGTCGTACCAAGCACAGCGTGACAGGGAGGTCGTGTGGACCAGTAGCGAGTTTGACAGTGAGCCATAGACTGGATCTCAGAAACGAGTCATCCTGGATCCGACCCACCGGTACCCCCCCAAAAGCACTCTCTCGACCGTCCCCTTCGCGCTCCACAATACTGAGTAGGGCGACGCGATAGGAAAGTGTTCGAATCGTATGGTAGCACGATCCGCATGGGAAAAGTCATAATTTGTCCGGTGTCTTCTCGCCGTGAGCCGCCTGCCACAGGAAGGGCAGCGGAAGATGAGACTCTTTTGTTGATGGATGGTATCATCCCCGCCCTCCCTCCCTCAGGTAGTAGTAGTCGTATAATACCACCACAAAGTCGACAACGAGATGCATAGAGCACCTCTCGAGATCGTTGGTACAAGGCAGATCGATCGCGAGGGATATGTCCGTCCAACGACCTTTGGATCCTCCCGAGACGGCGTAAAAGCCTGGAATGGAGTGATGATGGTTGCTCTTGATATCCCGATATCATGTCCCGGTGGGCTCTGACAGTGCACTAGCTCAGCTCGCGCAGTCGAGGGTCAGGAGCCCGAGAGAGGGCAAGTGGAGCAACTCTGTTAAATCAAGCCCAGTGATTGGGGAGAACAGATGGGTGAGGTCGACAGATAGCGAGGCAGAGATAGGGCCGTGCCCGATGATGAGGGTTCGGTAGTAGTAGAATCTGCGCTCCATCAAGAAGACTTGAACCGCAGTCGTTACAACCTCTGTATCGTGCGGGTCAGCACGTTCTTTGAGATGAACGGCGTCGACCAGGTCATTTGGACGACCTTATCATATGTGCATAGATTGATGTGACTACGAAGTATGGACCTGAAACTAGGATTATCCACATGATTTTACAGCCCAGGAAAAAATTCTGCAGTCGAGCTGTACGACTCGACCCACTCTCTTTCCCCGCGATTCCCTCCCCGGTTCCCCAATCCTCAGCGTCCGCCTCTGCATAACCAGCATCGTCGTCGGACCTCTTTCTCTTCTTGGCGGAACCTTCTCCTGCGTCGGTGTCAGGTGCAGGGGAAAGGGAGTGGGGTGCGGGCGTCATGGAATCAGGACGGGCGGCGGGGAGCGGGGAATAGGAGAGGTAACCGGCGGCTGGGATCGGGGAACCGGGGAGGGGACCGGCGGTGGGCAGCGAGAAAAGAGAGTGGGCAGGGTCGTACAGCCCGATTGCATGTTTGTCCCAGTCTTTGTTGTCCCGGTCTTCGTCCTCGTCGTTGAAGGGGAGGAGCGAAGGACGAGAGGCGCGGGCGGAACGGCGCAAAGGGGTCTTGCGTAGGCTACGAGGAAGGGTAGGCTACAGCGCTGTCAGCTATGTCACACTCATGGACTGGGATGCTTACCTTTTTTCGATGACCTCGATGCCATCGTCCTGAATCATGCGAACTGAAAGCTCATTGGTGCCGATGCTGAGAGTGTCCGTGAAGCAGAGATTTGCGTAGCCATCTTGGATCGCTTGGGGGTAGATGCCGTGTCCATGGACGCATGGTGCAGGGTATGCCTTTCTGATAACATTCAGTGCAGGGCTCCGTACGGTCGTCGGCGTCCAGATCATGCACTGCGGTCTGGTCAGCCTTCATCTGGTGGTAGTGAAATCGGAATGTACTTACACGATGTTTGCGTCTTTGGCATTCCAAGCACGCATTCCAAGCTCACTGGGCCTGTACGATCGCTTTGCCCTCTTTCTCGGACAAGGAGTGAGAAGCAGGGCTCGGCCTCTTCTCACCCTCGTCGGAGGAGTCTCGCTTGCGCTTCGAGCTAGACTTGGGGTAGCTTTTTTGGGCTTGGGAGGAATAGCGCTGGGAGTCTGGATGATCTCAAGAAGATACAGACTCTGGTTCTGCGAGGAAGAGGCAGAAGAGCAGACGGGTTGAGTCTCAGGGACAGAAGACGGTACGGCTCCAGTAGAGGCGGTGGTGGTAGCTACGATAAGGCGAGGATGTCAGTGATATACAGCTGTGCAACGGCCATGTCGTCGCAGCCAAACTCACCCATTTTCATTGCCCTGGAACTCCTCCCACGTAGATTGTTGGCCATGGGCAAGAACAGAGAAGAAGGAGAGAGGAACACTGTCGCGAGCTGCCGCGTGCTACTTCACAGGCCGGACAGAGAGAGGTGTCCACTGTCACGGTGAATGGCGCTTGAGAGATGTACTCCAGGATGGTCTTGTGGAGGATGTGTTGGACGTATGCAGACGTGACGGCGGTGAATCGGGGGTGTTAGATTCTGAGACTCTTGGGCCACAGACTAATACGAACGATAGCTTCGTCGGAGACGTTGGTGACGACGGTTTTGATCAATGGTATTAGTCTCTCTATTGTTTGGGTAGTTGCAGTATCGACCATACCCGGTCTCGATAGGACGAAGGACAACGAGAAGGATGAGAGGTTGACATACTCGATAGAAGCGCGTCTTAGAGCCCTTTGCTTCTCGTCCTCGTCAAGTACGTTCGTCAGTGGAAGAGCAAGACGACCCTTGAGTTTCGAGACACCGTGCTCGTTGACACACGATACTCCTTCCCGACCAGTAGATAGAGCTGTACCAAGAATTCAGTTTCGAAATTGACAGTAGGAGACAACACTTACCCCTCTTCCAGCTCGGCTCTCATCCAAGAGACTACCCCCTCAACCACTGCTTCACACGTTTCACCTCCTTCCAGCCTCACAGCGATCACCTTTGGATGATTGTCGGATAGGAAGGTCCCTGACCGTAAAGTTGGGAGGTCGCAATGGAGAGTGAACGTTGATGACGGCTTGGAGAGTTTCATCACCGCTCCGGCGCGGGGAAGATGAGAGGGAGGAGTGGAGGGTGTTAGAGAAGTACAAGCGTACAGGGGGTTCCCGAGGGCAGGTGGATAGCGAAAGGGCCAAAAGCGGGGGTCCATCATCCACATCTCCGAGATCACTGCGATGTCGAATTTCATAGAAAGGTTGAACATCTATAACGAGCTGATCAGCCTATGAATGAAACGAGTGCGACTCGTCACTTACCAGACAAAGAATTATGAGCTCTACCTTGGTCCATTCCCCCGACCCACTCGCGAGACAATCCCTCAGGAAAGACCACTTCTCGTGCATGTTGCGGAAGCGAGGGCTATCACGCAGAGCATCCTTGACAGTATAGGTCGATTCATTGTTGGGCCGCCTGTAGTTTTGTCAGCTTACTCGGGAGTGACAGGACCGAACGAACCCAAGTCCGAGCTGGTGAGGACATTTACCGCCGCCTTCACATCCCCCTCATCAAGCAACAGCTCGTACCTGTCCTCTGCCCAAGTCTCCCGGGCGCACCACATCCTCCTCAATGCCTCTGTGCTCTCGAACGATCGCACTGCCCTAGAGGACTTCTCCACGCTGGCTAGGAGCTTCGGCCGGTCTTTCAGAAGGGAGGAGAGAATGGGTGCGTGTGGTTTGGATGCAGCGGGGGATGCGGCGAAGGGGGTGGCCAGAGGGTCTCGGCGGTTGCGGGTCGCGCGACTAACCAAGACCTCGAAGACATCTGCCAAGCTGGCCAATCCTGACAAACGCACACTCAAATCAATCGGCCCGGGGAGGAGGGAGCCGGCATGTTATGAGAATGAAAAACCAAGGAAAAAAAACGCTCGAACCGTTCGGTGCGAGGAATTGTGTTTAGCCAGCAGCCCAGGCAGGAGGGAGCTGGGGACATGGCAAGAGAAGTCGACAAAGGGGGCCGATAGGAAGGAAGAAGAAGGTCGTCGGCCGCGGGGAAGAGGGAAGAGAGAAGGCAGCCGTAAATACAGGTAAGCTCATAAGGTAGGTGCCTCGTGGTTCTGGTCCATGTTCGTCAGCGATTCAATAATCAGTGAATAAATGGTGATGATACTGACCGAACACAGAGTATAGAATTCGTGCCCAGCCCAGGGAGGAGGGAGCCGGAAAATGACAACGGGAGCAAAGGGAGGGAAGGAGGAGGCCAGGTAAGGAGCGTCACACTCAGTAAATCCCTGAGGTGGCATTGGTAAGGTTGAGGGAGGGTGAAGGAGACGTTTTGTAGTTTGAAGGGGCGAGGGGGGACAGGAGGGGCGGATGTAGAGCGGTCAGGGGGAAGGAGAACTCTTGCCTGACTGGGTGCCGGCTCATGCCCTGGCTATCGACCAATTTCCCATACACCGCCAGGTCAGAGTCGTAGTACCCACGCTGCGCGCTGACAATATTCAGTTATATTCAAGACTGATTGTGACTCACGTTGTGATCGCCCTCTACCCGCCCTCTTGATATACTCGTAAGCCCTTTAGCTTCGAATCCACAAAGTCCCAGAAAGTCACTCCCTTCTTTGTTTTTCCTCCTTCGGCGACAGCGGCAGTCTGAGCCGCTGACGCGGGTCATACGTCAGCAGCTCGTAACAGTGACCAATGCCGCAGATTCGATCCTGGTCCTGGATCAGATGGTGGATGAACTTGGCATGTATGGCCGGAAGGTTCTTCGCATCGTCACCCAGAACAGATCTCCAGCTCAAACGAACAGTCGGATTACCATTACCAGGCGCGTACCAATGTCTTGCACAAAGCACAGACAGATTGATATCGACTGCAACGAGGTCCACAACGAGACGGGCGACAACGGCGGGCAGCTCTCGGACTCCTCCTGAGCAGCGAGGTCTTGACCGATCGGTGTGATTGTTCAGCCGGCGCGTGGAGGAGGGAGCCGGCATATCATGAGAATGAACAACAAAGAAAGAAAGAAAAAGACACTCGAACCGTTCGGTGCGAGGAATTGTGTTGAGCTAGCAGCCCAGGGAGGAGGGAGCTGTAACCGGGGGACCGACGCAGGAGGGGAGGGGCGGCGGTAAGGGCTTCCTCCACAAAGAAGGAGTGTCTGTCATGACATCCGTCGTGTCCGACAGACGGGTCTTGACATTCCACGAAGGTGATGGCAGTCGGTATTGTTAACCCTGCAAGACAACGAAGGCGCGCATCTGGGATTTGTAGGCAGCGATGATGGCCGGGAGCATGCCGATATGCCCGCTTGTTTGGATGGCGGCGCCAGGATCGGACTTGAACTGGTTGTAGAGTCAGCAACAGCAGCAACACCATTCAACCACTTACAGGCTCTACCTTGGTCCACTCCCCCGACCCACTCGCCAGACAATCCCTCAGGAAAGACCACTTCTCTTGCATGTTGCGGAAGCGAGGGCTATCACGCAGAGCATCCTTGACAGTATAGGTCGATTCATTGTTGGGCCGCCTGTCGTTTTGTCAGCTTACTCTGGAGTGACAGGACCGAACGAACGCAAGAGCCGTCAGCGGGATAATCTCATCCGCCCCGCCTTCCCCCTCCCCCAGAATCCCTCCCACGACGTCGGCCTCGAAATTCCCAAAGTCGTAGTACTGCTGGATTATCGTGCTGTTGGGACGATGGCCCATGAAGGATCTTGCAGCATCGGGAGATATCCTCCTGCTGATTAGGGTGGCCAAGGTTCGGCGGTATGCGTAGAGGGTGTCCCCCCGACCAGCTATGTTATCGTTAGCTACATCGTCTGTCAAGCTGCACGACTTACATTCTGGTGTAGTCACACCAACACCACAAGAGCGATGAATCTCCGTGATGTCGGGGGGGGACACACAGACCGGTAAACACTTTGTAAGAGAATGCCGAGTAGCCAGGGCCTGGGAGGGAGACCGTCTATCTTGTGGTGGTCGCTGATAAGAAAGACTTGATCGTAGAGGAAGGTTGAAGGAGGAGGGCGAGCTGGTGGTGGGGGCGGAGGCCTCGTGTGATTCTTGACAATCGTTACAAATCTCAGATAGTCCTGTGTGGTAATACCAGCACTGAGAGACAGGCGAGGCTCTGGGGACAAGGAAGGGATGGAAATGGTGGCTGTCGAAAGTAGTTGTTGGGGCCGTGGGTGGTACGGCTGTTGGAGAAGATGGAGGCGGTGTTGGCAGCTGCTCTTGTTAGTGTTTGGAGGAGGATGCGGATCGGAATCACATGATGAGCGGGACTTACTTTGATATCGTAGACTGGCTCCTCTGAAATGCTGCAGCCGCCTTCCGAACGCTCGAGGGGCCTCTACAAATGTAGAGGTAGATCCCCAGCTTCTCGATAGGGGATACCCCCTGTCTCCGCGGCGAAGCAGCCCCCTGTGTGACAACAGGATCACCCTATGAGAGTATAAGCGACGAACGGAAGCGAAAGCAAACCAAAAGGAGAGGAGGGGGAGGAGGAGGAGAAAGGCTCACCTGCAATGGCTGATAGACATGAACTGCAATCCTTAGAACGGGCGTTTCGCGACCCTTCCCTCAAGCGGGCTGCTTGGCGTAGTTTTGATATACGCTTTGCAGAAGACGAGGAGTCTGCTCGGCCGGACGGCGTGGACCCAAAGTCCCAAACTAACCGCAGTGCTGGTGTCTTTGGTTGAGAGGAAGCTGAACTCGACAAAGGGAGGGAAGGAGGGAGGCCAGGTAGCCGGCCCGGGGAGGAGGGAACCGGCATGATATGAGAACAAAGAACCCCATGACTGGACAGGCATAGAGATTGATGAGAGACCGGCTTCCATCATCGGTTATCGGCAGCAACAGGGGGTGTGGTGAGACGACGAGCGTTCAAGATCGAAGAATGAAGAAAGCCTGGTAAGACTTGTCATCCCAACTCAACTGCGAAGAGAGTGAGCATGCTTCAAGATACCAATAAAAAAGTTACCCACCTCGTGAAATTCTCTACATCCTCCCGCCGCGTATATGATAGAGTGGGCGCTCGATCACGTTACGGGCCGAGGCATGACGCAGGTTGTACACCTCGGCCATCGTTCTGGGGCCTGCACAGCTGAGGTCAGATCGAACCCAGACAGAGGAAAGACGGATGAAAGTGCTCACCTGTGCGAGGAATTGTGTTTAGCCGGCCCGGGGAGGAGGGAGCCGGCATCTTATAAAGAAAAAAAAAAAAAAAAACTCGAACCGTTCATTGCGAGGAATTGTTCGGTGCCGACGGATGGTGTCAAATAGGCCCAGGGAGGAGGGAGCCCGGATGTTGATGAATGAAGAACAAAAAAAAAACAAAAACTCCAACCGTTCGTTGCGAGGAATTGTTTTGAGCCCAGGGAGGAGGGAGCTGGGGCCATGGTAGGACAAGTCGACAAAGGGGGGCCGATAGGAAGGAAGAAGAAGGTCGTCGGCCGCGGGGAAGAGGGAAGAGATACCAGCGGTGAGGATGTCGAAATCGAAGGCTTGTCGGAGGGTATCGGGTATCGGCGATGGGGGGTCATATCGATATCGACGCCATATAGTACCTTGGCTTGGTGATTACCGAAGCTTGATACCTTGGACGCCGAGGAGGGGAGGAGAGGAGTCGGGACCAGAGAATGTCTCCTAGACGGCACGAGAGCCACAGAGGAGGCAGTACCGCTCGGCGACAAGACACCTCTCACCTCCACTCCAACACGATAAAGGCATTGCAAATCTGGAGACCACGAAGGGCGCTTGGATCCATGTTCCTGGAAACACACACAGCCGCCACATCCACGTGCCCCGGCCCCCGCTCAACCTCTGTCGTCTTTATCGTCTTTGCTTTTCAGAGAGCCGCCCCATCGGCCTGTCACTGTTCACCGTATCCATAGAAAATACTCCATCCAACATGTCCCATGCATACACTCCCTCTCCTCCACTCCTTTATCCTCTCCCCTTTGCCTGTCCACAAAGGACGACTCCTCCCATCTCACATCCACCACTTGTTTCTCAAGAGCCCCCCCTCGAGCAATACACACCATGGGCGCCCCAACCACCCCCCCACCGCCCTCCCCAACCCCATGGCAACTCTCCATGTACCGCCTCTCCCCCGGCGAACGCCTCCTCTACTACCTCTACCTCCCCATCCTCTCCACCACCCTCATCCTCCTCTCCCTCCTCGCCTCCCTCCCCTACATGTTCTGCAAACGCTCCCGCCCCCTCCTCCCTAAACGCTCCCCGCCAGACCCAAAACATCCGGAAAGTAGATACGAATGGTACGGTCCAGAGAAGGACTATCCCCCTGGTTTGGCGCTGGCGCCGCTGGGGAAGGGGCCGGGGTTGAAGAGGAGGATGTGGGAGATGTATGGGTTTTTTAGAGAGTTTTTGTTTATGACGACGAGGCAGGGGTTGCAAGTGGGTGGTGTGCTGAGTGGGGCGGTGATCCTGTTCTTTCAGGTGGAGATGATGTCGCATGATTACACTTCGGATAATGTATGTCGCCGCTTTCCTTCTCTCTCTCTCTCTCTCTCTCTCTCTCTCTCTCTCATTCTACCCTTTCCTGAGAGATGGCGCTGACAAAAAGGTAGGTGAAAAAGTACCAAGACGCCATCAGCGGCGGCGACGGCGAACCTTCAGGCTATCTCAAAAGCGACGACAAGTGCGCCTACATAGTCGGCACAGGTATCGCCAACTGGGGCGACCGACAAGAACCTCTCGGTACGTCCCCCCCCCCCCTCTCTCTCTCTTCCCTCCCCTTCCTTCTCCTGTCTTCCTCCGCTCTCGCTACTAGCATGAGATACTGACGCCCGTATAGCATGGTACGGATGCTACCACGGTTTCCTCTGTCTCCTCTGTATCTGTCTCATGGGGGACGAACTCTTCAACGTCCGCTTTGGGGCTTTTGCGCCGCAGTGGTTTAGAGGTGGGATAGGGTATACTATCATGTTGTACGTTTTTTTCTCCAAGGCCCAAAATACTGGCAGAGAAGGGAGAATGGTAGAAGGCTGAATGTTGAATGTCAAGTCTCGTCTCTGCTACACTATCTACAAGCCCTAACTGGGGTATCAACGAGTAAGCACCCACCCTCCTTCTCTTTCCCCCTCCTACAACCCCACTAACAGCGTCTAGCTTTGTCCAACTCCGCTACCTCTTCCTCACCGTCATCTTCCTCTTCGGCCTCTACCAAGTCCTCCGCACCCTCCTCTCCTCCATCGGCATAACAACCTCCGGCTACCGCCACACCGACTACCGCATCGGCCGCAAACCCCTCCGCCCCTGGACACAATCCGAATGGCTCGACCCCTACTACCGCCAGAATTTCATCCCCTACCAGTTCGACCGGTACTTCTGGACGGAGAGTGTACAGTCAAAAGTCGGGGATTGGCATTTCCCCGCGGAGAGGAGGCCGAGGGAGGATGTGGAGGAGCAGATGGAGTGGTTGGAGAGGAACAGTAAGGGGAGGGATAAGTGGTTGGTGGATATGAAGGTGCAGAAGGTGTATCAGAAGACGCCGCAGGAGATCAAGTGGCAGCATGGCAAGATCGGTCGGACGTATGCCTTCTCCCCCTCTCTCTCCCTCTTGGATCACGAGCTGACGATAAGCAAAGCATCATCCACGGCGGCCCCAAAAAAATGCCCCCCTTCATGCTCGACGACCTCCACGCCCGCGAACGCGCCCACCTCGGCCAGATCCCCTCCTCCCCCCCGCCCACCCAGGAAGAACAAGAAGAGATCATCAAAACATGGAACGAGGACAAGTTTTACTTTGGGATTGCGAATTGGAAGCCAAAGACGAAGAGTTTTGGGTGGTGGTGGTTTGATGTGAGGAGGGCGTTTGCGGTGGTTTGTGCGGTGGGGTTGATGGGGGTTAGGATTGGGCTGTGTATTTTGTATGTCCCTTTTCCTCTCCTCTCCTCTCCTCTCCTCTTCTTTGTCTCCTTCTTCTCATTCGTTTATGATGGTGACTGACAAAACAAATAAGCGACCTGGGATCCACAAACATGCCCGCCTACCGACAAGAATACGAACAAGCTCAAGACGCCTGGGACAGCACCGACAGCGGCGGGCCCGACTCGAGTACGTGCCAGTACTACCAAGGCAGCAGTCTTCCCATCTTTGTGGTTATGAGCGAAGAATCTTATTACGGCGTTACCGCCAAGTACGTCCTCCTCCCCTCTCCCCTTCCCCTCTCCCCTTCCCCCCTTCCCTCCCTCCCTACACCCCCCGCCCCAAACCCCAGCTAACAAAAAGAAGCATGATCTGGCTAGCAATCTGGCACCTCCACCTCCTCGGCATGTGTACCGCCATCATCCTCGTCTCCATCTCCAACAACATGTGGTGGGGCATGCACTGGCCTTTCCCGCCCATCACGCTCATCGGACCTCGGATGACGAGTATGAGTATCGGGGTGACGCTGGGGTTTGTGGCGTTTGCGACTTTGCAGCAGGGGTTCTTTTTTGGGAATGAGTGTGTCTTTCTCGTCCAATCTTTTTTTGATGTTTCGGAGAAGCTGACATGGGGTCCCGGGTAAGCTCGTTGATTATGATAACGAGGATCATCTGTTACGCCTCTGTCGTAGGATTCATCCTCTTCCTCTACCCCGTACGTCCCTTCCTCCTTCTCCTTCTTCCTCTTCTTCCTCCTTCTTCCTCTTCTTCCTCCTTTCCTCCTTTTTTCTGTCTCTGCTCTCGCTTCTTGTCGTTTTGATCTTCTTCCCACATTTATCTCCATCACCCAACTCCCCCCATCCACCTAGCCGCTCAACCCGGAAACTCCACCGAAAGTCGAAAGTAGTCAAGACTCTCCTTTCCGGAAAAGGCCTGTCCGTCTTTTGCGCTTTTTTTTTGTTTCTTTTTCGATGATGATGATGACGGAGAAAAGGAGAGATGCCGAGTCTTTTCGTGAATGACTTTCCCACCTTTCCCCTGGGCATCGTCACCCCTCTCCCCCTTGTACGTTCCGCCCCAGGTGCCAAGAATCCAAAAGCAGCAAAGAAACCATCGGCCTCCCCGAAGTTCCAAACCTCGGCCTGTCTGACTTTCTTTGCCCCTTCTTCCTTCCTCTTCCTCTTTCGTCTTTTCAGCTCCATGATCCATCTCGTCAACATGCGGCCTTGGAACGATGGCTTGGTGTGGGCAGCCGCTTTTTGCTTGATGACGCATCTCGGCAATGATGATAATTGCATTTGGTACAAACGCTGACGTTTTTGCCTTTTCCATGCCTCCTACATACCACCATTCGCCACCCCTCCTCCTCCTCCCCCCCCCCCCTCTTTGGCCCCTCGCACATGTGTTGTGATGTGATGTGATGTGATGTGGGTGGATGCAGAACGAGCCCCTCCGAATCAACTACACCCGCGACCCCTTCTGGCCCTGGACCTCACGCGTCGCCTTCAGGTTTATGGACCGCAAGAAATTTCATTATGAGATGAAGGATTTCGATGATGCGCAGGGATAACTGTGTAGCTCCCTCCTCTACTTTTGTTGATCGTACTTTCAACTGTAGAAGTACTCGTACGGACTGCTTTGTTTTGAGATGATGGAGAAAGAGATAGACTAGGAGAGTATTAGCACATCTGTTGTTTTCACGATTGAGGATCTATCGTGGTGCATGTAGGACTTGTATATGCATCCTTTACGCCTCCCGGGTCAAAGACTACTACATATCAGTAACACCAAAAAGCCAAGCAGCAGGCAGAAGAGGTGGGTGGATGTCGTAGAGTACGGTGCTTGGAATGCGGGACAGCCAAGGTTCGTCTTTGAGAAAAGGTTCGATATACCTCACCCGTCAACACCTCGTCACACGCACCATACTCACTCACTGGTCATTGCCGCCGGGCGATACCATCTGCTGCATACGTACGTAGATACGTAGCCGCGGAATGATAAAAATACTCCTGCTGCATAACTGCGCGGCGGCGCCCCCCGCCATACTAAGGGCCCTTCTCGTTTGTTTGTTCGTTTATCCCGTGCGGGGTACCGCACCTTGAAGCAGGGCCCAGGGAGATGCCAGATCCCTTCCCTGGAATCCCAATGTTGAGCGAGGGCATCTGCGCGCGGTGATTGGTTGGATGCCCTGGGGAGGCTCGATTTGGGCGCGTTTCGGGCAGCGGAGGGATTGTTTTTTAGCGCGTAAATGGGTGGTGGCACGGGTACACTGGAATCCCTGTTCCCTGGATGGGCTGCATCGCATTATTCACTTATTTCCACAGCTGCCCTCGAGTCTCGACCTGCGCATGCATGCATCTCTTTCTTTCCTCTCCATCCTCTGTACCCTCTCCCGGCCGTGTTTTCCATTCCATCCCAGTCCCAGTCCCCACCCCGGATCGGTGAGTAGACCCCTGTTCCTCGTGTTTGGCGGTACACAGCATGAGTCATGGCTGCATGAGGCGACACTGACGCTTTTTGTTTCCCCTCATTTCCATCAGAACCACCGATCCTTTCACTCCGCCAAAACAACCCCGCCACCTTTCAGGCTCCTCCCCATCCCCTATATAACCGCGCGTCGCCTCTCACCCCCCCAAGAGCGCAAATCACACAGTCCACAATGACTTCCGTAAACTTGCTCTCCCTCCTCACCCTCACCCCCCTCCTCGCCAGCGCATTCGCCCCCGCCGCTCCACCATCATTACTACCAAGGGATGACGGCGTGACGCCACTCAGCTTTCGCGCTGCAGGTGATACCGGTGTCTCGTCCCAGCAGATGTTTTTGGGGAACGACAAGAAGGCGTATGTCATTGACAAGACGGAAAACAACCCCGTGACGATAGACGGAGAGTATGGCTCGCATCCCGCTTGGGCCACCGAGTATGATATCGAGACGAACGAGTGTGAGTCCTTTTTGCATGGTGGCGATGAATTGCTAATTGGTGGGGCAGACCGGGCGATGGACGTCTACTCGAATACATTCTGTGCGGGTGGCAATGTGATGGGGAACGGAACCTGGGTCATCTTTGGCGGCAACCAGCGTGAGTGTTCCATTGTTCTCGTCTTTCTTGGCACGTACTGACTTTTATTAGCCGTAACGACAAACGGTACAGCCGTCACCGACGCCGGCGTCTACTCTGACAACGACGGCGGTTCCGCCATCCGCATGATCACCCCCTGCACCGACGAGCAATGCGAGTACGTCCAAGGCGCCCAGTCTTACGACAGGTCGACCGGGACCGGCGGATGGCTGCAGATGACCGGCAAGAGATGGTACCCCACCGTCGAGGCCCTGCCGGACGGAACGCTGATCATCATCGGCGGCGACACGAACGGCGGCTACGTCAACACCAGAGAGCAAGACAACCCCACCTACGAGTTCTTCCCTCCCCAGGACGGCGACCCCGTCGACCTCCAGTTCCTCTCCGACACCCTGCCTTTGAACTTGTTCCCCCTCGTGTGGCTCATGCCTTCGGGCAGGCTCTTCATGCAGGCGTACAACACCACCATCTTGTACGACTATACGACCCGGGAGACGACCGACCTGCCCACCATGCCCTACGCCGTCCGCGTCTACCCCGCGTCGGCGGCTACCGTCATGCTCCCCCTCACCCCGGCCAACAACTATACCGCCACCCTCCTCTTCTGCGGTGGATCCAACACCACCCAGTGGGGGACCGACGGTACCGCCGGGTACAATGTCACTGCCGTCCCTGCCGACCAGACGTGTGTCCGAATCAGCCCCGAGGATGACGACCCGCAGTATGAGGACGAGGATGACATGCCCGAGGGCAGGAGTATGGGACAGTTTGTGTTGTTGCCGGATGGGACGATGTGGATGGGTAACGGTGTCAGCATGGGAACTGCTGGTTACGGAAACGAGGGTTATTCTCTCGGTCGTACGTCCCCCCCTTCTTCTCGATCATGCCAAGCTAACGTTGTACAGAATCCTACGGCCAAGACCCGGTCTACATGCCCGCCGTCTACAACGCCTCTGCCCCCTCTGGCCAACGCTGGAACCGAACCGGCCTCTCTGCCTCGGAGAACGAACGCATGTACCACTCCACCGCCATCCTTCTCCCCGACTCGTCCATCCTCATCGCAGGCTCCAACCCCAACAAGGACTTTACCAACCTCCAATGGCGCACGAGGACCGACTCTGAAAAGTGGTACCCCTGGTACTACAACGAAGAGCGTCCCGCGCCTTCGGGGCTTCCTGCCAATTTGACTTATGGCGGGGATTCGTTCAATGTTACGTTGGCGGGTACGGATGAGGGGGCTGCGCAGAATACCAAGGCGGTCATTATCAGGGGCGGGTTCAACACCCATGGAATGGGTTTCGGCCAGCGTATGCTCGAGTTGGAGACGTCGTACACGATCGACGAGAATACCGGCAACACCACCATCCACGTCTCGCAGCTTCCCGGAGACCCTGGACCTACCATCTTCCAGCCCGGGCCTGCTATGATCTTTATCGTCGTTAACGGTGTTCCTTCCACCGGCGAGGTGAGCCTCCTCCTTCCTTCTTCTTCTCCTTTTGACGTCAAGCTGATGAGGGGCTAGTTTTTGATGGTCGGTAACGGTCAACTCGGCGACCAAACAACAACCACCAACGCCGCCCTCCCCTCATCCACCGTCCTCGCCGTCTCCGCCTCCGCCTCCAACTCTGCCTCCGCCACCGACGCCGACTCGTCATCCACCGCTACGGGCGGTACCTCCAACCAGTCCACGTCGGGCGCTGGCAAGACGGCTAGCGTTCGGTCGGCCGCCGTGGTTGGGGGGGTGATGGGGTCGATGGGCGTGGTGGGGTTGAGTGCTTTGGTTTTGCTTTTATGAGCGCTTACCTTGAACGCTTGACCTGGCATGGATATAGAGCGGAGAGAGGAGAGAGGAGAAAAGGGAAGAATAGCAGTTTATAGAATTACATTTCAACGACAAAACCAACCTCGCATTGTTTACACCCACCCACCCGCGCAAACCCGAACCCGATTAACGACAAGACCCCCCTCGCATTGTTTATCAACCCAGAACCAACTTTTTGCTTTTCAATCTTTTCAACGGACAACTAGTTGTTAATCCTTCTTTTCCCATTCGTTTTCAGACCCTTCTTTCTTTCTTTTTTGACTGTGCTATACACCTTTTACAAGTATATATATTTATATAGAACGTTACCTCCTTTTATTTATCAAACTGTATCCTATTCTACCATCCCCTTCACCCCTTCCATCCCCTTTTCACCTTTTTTACTTTTTATATACTTTATATATACGGCTATAGCACTCTCATCTTTGAAGGGCGAAGGAGAAAGGAGAAGGAGGGAAAAGGAGAAAACAACGAAAAACAAAGAATGGACACTTTTTTTCTAAATGCGACGACTTTTCCCCACTTTTGTTCGTGGTGTTTTTACTGCCTTCTTATCTACCTTGATCATGAATGAAGGACTCTTGTTTATGGACTCTTTTCCTTTTATTGCATCATTTTCTAGTCTCGTAGTATCATTTTTTCTTTTTTCTTTTTTTTCTCATGGCATTTTTGTTCTGATTCCGACTGTTCTCTGACTCTGTTTCTGGTCTATTCGATGATGAAATGAAGAAAGAAAAAATATATACGTTGTGTGTGCTGTCCCATGGTCTTCTGAGCCTTGGTATGTACACTAGAGTAGCGTTGCAAAGTGATAAGAGGTGAATGACTTGGCTTTGGGAAAAGATGTGGGACCAGCCCTCGACCCATGTGCGCTGAACTCGACTGTTCTATACTCGATCTCGCATCGACATCTATCCGCCAAACTCTCTAACCTATCGACAGACCTGATTCAACCTACCAACCCCCCCCCCCCCCCCGCCCCCTTGCAACACCACAATTAGCCCTTCCTTCCCACCCCCACTCAAAACGCCCCCATCGCTCATTTTGGACGCGAACGCGAAATCAGAATGCCTCTCCGCCAGTATCAAAGCCGCCATTCCGACGCCCAAAAGCCACGAGAGGGGCGGGGGGGACTCTTGAAATGTTCCAAGCTGAAAACTAAACAAGAGCAAGAACACGAACACGAACACGAACACGAACACGAACACGAACACGAACACGACAAAGAGAAAGGCGGAAGGTGGAAGGTGGGATCGCTTGTCAATGCCCGGCCATGGCCGGGTGCCGAGTTTGCTGCTGCTGCTGCTGCTGAAGGGGAGAGGACTCTCAAAACGGCGGCCAGTGAAAGGCGAAGAGATTTCATCGATTGATCAGATCAAGAAAGAAAGAAAGAAAGAAAAGGATATTGGATGGGCAATGGTGAACAGTCCCTGACTGATTGATGAAGATGAAGATGATGGTGGATCTAAAGTCGAAGACGAAGACAACTATGAACAATACGAAGACGAAGAAGGCCGCCTTCCACCCTGGGTCTGCCTAAAGGCTGCTGTCAAACTAGGCTCAGGTCTTATCCTACGGCTTTGGCGAGATGTACGGCTCGTTTCGGGGTGGGATAAAGTGAATGGGTGTGTTGATCTAGTACGTCCTCTCTCTCTCTCCCCATTTGCTCCTCTCTCTGCCATCCTAGAGCTATCACTGATAGAAGACGTGTAGCGCATCAAAGGCTTTATCACTTTCGTTATCGCGACCACCGCATAGTCTGCGACTGTCCAGAATTCAAAGGGGGCTCCAGAGACACTTGCCTCCATGCCGAGCTGTTTTTGACGCCATTCAGAGATATTCATGCCTTCCCGCCGGGCAAGCCCAATATCCGACCATCCAGACCTGTTCGGCTGCCCCAGGTCGAACGCGTCCTCATCGGTATACCGCCCCTCCGACTTCCTCTCATATTCTCCGTCCAAAAAGAACCTATCCACCCCCCCCTCCGCTCGCAGGAAGAAGAGAAGAAGCACCCCAACGCGTGGTGGTCACATGCACATACAAGTTACAACCGCGAAATGGAAAGGAGCTCGAAATGCTAAACCTACAGTTATGGTCATGGTCATATGGAGGCTTGTAGAGGGGGAGAACCGCGGGGCGGTTGTGGGCAATATCACTCAAGCTTTGCGAAAGAAAGAAAGAAAGGGTTGGTTGGTTGGTGATGGAGAAGAGAGGCGAATTTGGGAATGCGTGATGCGTGGGCGAGAAGAGCAGATCGTGTCATACATGATTTTCATGAATTACCATCCTCCGTCTCCTTCTCCTCCACCTCCCCCTTCCCTTCATTTTCTCCTTCGCCCCCCTAAACTCCCAACCCAAAAGAAGAAGGAATCCTCTCTCTCTCTCTCTCTCACCCAAACCTCAAAACGCCCCCCTCCCTCACATCCCTCGGCAACCCATTCCACCACTCCCCAGCGCTCAACGCCTTCTTCCCCGCCGTCCTGAGCGAGTAGACTTGGAGCCATGTTGCGTCTTTGCACGCTATGAAGAGCTTGCGGTCTTTCTTTGCCTTTCCCTTTTCGGTGTGGAGGACGGCTACCCCGGGGTCGGGGTCTACAGGTCTAGGCCCAGGCCCAGGGCCAGGGCCAGGAGGACAGGACGACGGAGACAGGTCTTGCGGACCCACAGTCGCAGGGGCAGGGGCAGGGGCAGGGGCAACAGACAAAGATAACAGCTGCACAGTCCTACCCCCCACCGTCGTCCAGAGCGGAACCTGCCCCCCAACGCCTCTATGCAGCCTATCAATCGCCACAGCCGTTTGGGTGGGGAAATGCAGTTGGGCGGTGGGGGCGGTGATTTTGGGGGCTTGGGTTGTGTGGGTGGGGTTTTGGGGGGTGAATGATGCCTGGGTAAGTGTGTGTGTGGTCAGCGGGGGGGGGGGGGGAATAGGGAGAAGACGGGAGAAGGACGGGAAAGGGGAGAAGAAGGAAGAAGAAGGAAGGGAGAAGAAGAAGGAGACGTACAGTACCAGCTTTGAGTTGACGGAGGACGTCGACTAGGAGATCACCGCCTATAAGCGCGAGATGGGGTAGGAGGGAGTTGTATGTCGCGTTTTCTGGGACTGGCTAAATTCACACCCCACGCCTCTGTAAGCATTCTCTCTCTCGGCAAAGAAGCAAGCCAGCAATGAAAAGAAGCAAGAAGGTGGGATACTCACAACGCCGTAGACGCGTCCTACGATATCCCCCGCGTCCACCCCGAGGCTATACTTGACCAATCCCTGTACGCTCACCCCCGTCTTCTCATCCCCCGCAGCAATAGTCCACTGCACCGGCGCTGCTCCACGCCAGCGCGGGAGGAGCGAAGGGTGCACGTTCAAGCGGTGCGTTGGGGCGAAGAGGGCGAGTAAGGGGGCGGGGATGATGTGCCCGAAGGAGGCTGTTAGGAGGACGTTGGTCTTCTCCGGGTCTGGGGTAGAGGAGGAGGGAGAGGGGAGAAAGTGGGATGGAGGGGACCATGATTTGAGGCCTGTGGAAGGGACGGTGGAGAGGGGTAGATTGTGTTTTTCGGCATATTGGCGTAGTGCCGCTTTTGTCCTGTTAGTATACCCTTCTAGGAGAAGTTGGAGAGCGTACGGGTGTAGGTATGGTGCTGCGCATGTCGTCCGCCCCTTCCGACTTGCCTCTCCGCGGGCACGACGACATCTATACTCGACCACAGATCTACACGCCATCAGCTCTCTCCCTCTTTCCCCCGCACGCAGAGACAGACTTGCCTTTAGCGTTGTGGACAGCTTCGAGGGAAGCGACGGAAAAGTCGTCCGAGCCGCAGAACAAGATACGGAATGGTTCTTCTTTACGGCTGGGGCAGGAGGCGGAGAATAGACGCCATGAGCGTGCCCGGGTGCCGGATCTTGCGAGTCTGACTGTGGTGAGTGATGCAGGGAGGAGCATTCGTGGGGTTGGAGGTATCCTAGGGGTGTTGAGTATCGCAAGGGGTACCACGGCAGATTATATATCTAAAAAGCCTGGTGCACGAGATGTATGTTTCAAGTATGTTTACTTTTCGCCCAGGCACGCGCGTCCCATCAGCATCCGCTCTTTATCTCCATCGTTCATCTTGCAACTGTCCCAGCATTCCCATGAGCCCATAGCTGTAGGGGACTGCCTGCGCTCCCTCAATCCCATACCCACATACACCTGGCCTGCCAACACCGTCTTCCGACCTTGCTCCTTTGTCGGTCCCGAGCCCTGCGCACTGCGCACTGCGAGTCTGCTATCTTTTCGGCATCTATATCAAAAATCACCAGATCGACTGGGCATCTTCCGCTCTGGCACTCTTCAGAGTCATACAACTCTCTCCCAGTGCATCAAACGCTTCAAGGCGGAAAGGCCCCATCCCGCCTGGCTAATACACCGCCTCGTCCACCGACTGCGCTTTCACCATGCTCTCGGCTTTCCCTCCGCCTTCCAAAATCCTACTCTACGGCCTGCTGCTAGCCTCTCTAGCTTTGAGATGTGCGGCGTATATCCCGGCGGTTGCGATCAACGATACAGACGGCCTCAATTTGACAGATTCATCCTCTATCGATATCGCATGGACGGACCCTTCGGGCGTGTATAGCGGTGAAGTGCAAGTCCCCCCTCCCCTCCCCCAAATGCCCTAGCTGATGTGTCGACAGGTCATTCCAACTCCAAGCAGACGTCCTAACAGGCGGCACCACCTCCGGCGCGCTCGTGCATTTCGCTGAATCCACAATGGGCAGCAACGTGTCGACTACGACGCCGTGGATTGCGTTTATCAGCTGTGATAGGAATGAGAGTGTTGCTAGTGATGAGTGGGGTGAGTCTTCCCCCCTCTTTTCTCTTCTTACTTTTGGCTTCTTCAGAAGGTTGAGGGCGGAGGGCTGATGATGGGGTAGATGTGTTTACGTTGGCAAGAGATAGAGGGGCGGTATCAGCCGTAAGCTTTCCCCCACATCCGCCTCTTTGCCTATGCTGATTTGGTGGATTAGCTACTATACACGATCAACTCGAAATCATGTTTATTGAATACCGAGTATATAACCGATTTCGAAAAGCCGCTAGACGTGTTTGCTACGAGGACTGTGCAAGTCGCTAGGCAAGTCGTCTTCATCTCCATCTCCATCTCCATCTTCTTCCCAACCCTAATCGGAATCCGAATGGTATTGCTGACCCTGGTTTGGCAGAGTCATCAACAACCAATTCGTCCATACCAACGACTCTTTTCAGAACTTTAACAGTACCCTCTTGAACGACTCGTACGTCCTCCCCTCAGCTCACCCAGCCCAAACCCCCCCCCCCCCCCCGCGGTGCTTGGTCATATAATAAACCAACCCCCCATCCCACAACCACCCCCCCCCCCCCCCCAAAAAAAAAGCTGTGGCTAGAAGCTAATGTTTTCCAAAGCGCCACAGACGTCAACAACTCCCTCTCAGGCGACTCCTCATCATCCAAAACATACCTAACAGCCACACTCACCGCCCGAAACTCCACAGGCCAAGCCACATCCTCCTCCATCCCCAACTCCCCTTCTTCCTGCTCCTCCTCCTCCTCCGACGCCTCCTCCTCCGGGGCCTCCTGCTCAAACGCGTCGGGCGGCACAAGGAAGCCATCAGCAGGCATGATTGTCCTATACGCTATCACGGGGGTGGTGGGAAGTGTGTTTTTGATGATGCTTGGTAGGGGCGCGAGGCGGGGGATGGGGCGGGGGAGG